ACGAGATCGGGGCAGAGTGTGCCCAGGCCAACTACTCGATGAAGGCTAACGGACATGTGAGGGTGCTGAACAGCGGGACCGGGATTAACACGATGTCCGCGAGTGATCGTGATACTATATAAATGTGAATATAACCCCGCCCCTGAAATTCATTGTAGGTTTAAAATAAGGTGTTTTTATGTTAATTAGCGTGTGTGTTAATCAGATAGGCTTTCATTGTCAGCCTCCTGTTTGATAGAAATACAATTAGCCATACATCAACCACACACTTATGAACACATAGATTTTGAAACGCCGGTGGGGTGCTCACCTGCAACCTCTTGATTTGTAGTCGTTCCTACGTGCTAGGGAGACTGTTGTCGTTACAAGTGTCAGTTCTCCTAGCCACCATTAACCGAGTTTGGTTAAGTTGTAAACTTTTAGACCGCCTCCGTGGTCTAGTGGTAGAGCGTCCGCCCGGAGAGCGGAAGGTCCGGGGTTCGATCCCTGGCCGCGTCATACCAAAAGAAGTTAAAAGATGGTACTTGTTGTTACCCTGTCTGGCGCTCGGCATTAAGGGGCTAAAACAAGGACTGGTCGGCTCGGAGTCAGTATACTGTGTCTGAGTGGGGTATTCGTGTTAAACTGCGGCATGGTATCTCAGTGAGCTAGCACTATAATTCGGCATCAGTCCGGTCTAGTACAAGCAGCCACACACACACACGTGCATGCACGTCGCTATATAAGTGCAATAATCTTGGACGCGACGTTAAACCAAATTTAACCTCACCTCACCTCACATATCTCAAGTCTAGATTACTGCAGTTTCAGGTTGAATGTGAAAAATATTGTATTAACATAATTTAACAAAAAAAATCTTTACAATATTTTCATTACGGTAATATGTCACAGTTACATTTCGCTGTAGCACTTCAAATATTGTCTTTAACAGAGGCCCATATAGAATACGATTAATCTGATAGATTCAGAAATTTAAAATCACGTTGTTCCAGAAAATATTGGAAATAAATACCTTTGCCTCAGTTTTTTCAAAATCTATGGATATGCTAGTTACCAAAGAAATGTACAAAACGAGAAGAAAAAGCAGGTCGAAAGCATATTCGAATATGTTCTCAATCTGTAGAAATTCACAAGCCTTGGTTTTGGTGGGTAAAAATGTAGTGTTTGAGGCGCTCGTAAAATCTCTTAGTTCAACAACACATTCCAAGCTTCCGATAGCGTCTCCTCCCAAAAGACCTATTCTACCCCGGATCTTCACGGGTCTCACGTGCTATGAAGACGTCCCGACATCATATACTGACCGGGAAAATACCGCTACTTGTTATCACGTGGTCTAAGGATACCTGTTTGAAAAACCGCATTAATCGAATTGATTATTTTAATGTTCTTAAAGTGATACTGACAGGTCTTGTTACTATGCTGGAATTAATTAAAAAATGAAGGTAGTTTTGGAAAGTTAAGTCAAATGATTACTATGCCTTCGGACTCTCCCCAAACCTTTAATTCCATGCCTTGTGTGTGAAAATAGTTACTGTTTTAAGCCAGATAATTAAAAACACTTTATGGGTATTTGTCATTTAAGGTATTGTACCAACAATTCGCATTGTAGAGTTGCGTCCCTTAGGCGTACCAGAATCCCCTCAGTCCAGCGTAAGTTGTTCTCTATTACTCCTATGTTCGTGGGTTCGAATCTTATATTAGCCCACATTATGTTTCTTGGTCTGGAGGCACCATTCTCTATGGTTTTAAAAGACATAAATCATTTCGGGCTTGCCTGCCACGTTTAGCTGACACGCCGTGAAATAAATGACATAATGTTCAGATGACGTTAATTTGACGTTATTATACAGCGGTTATCTATCATACACTATATCAACCCGAGGGCCGAAGGCGTTATGAGGATCGAGGGTTGATGTGGGGTATGATATGAAACATGCCATATAATACCTTTTTAGCATATACCATAAAATCACCTATTTGCAAGTGAATGCAATACATTTTCGCCTTGTTTGGAAGTCATTATCACGGGAAAGCTAGCCGAGCGGACGAGCAGACCACGCACTAAGGGACGTAACTCCAAATTCTTACCCCGCGGACCGATATCGATCGCCCATTCAATATGCATTGACAAGCCATATCAGACCGGCAGGGTTGTAATACTGTCTGGTTATTATTATGACCGTCTCTATGTTGGCTATATCACACATGCAAAATACCTCATATTACTGCTAGGAATATGATAATCCAAATTAACCCACTCACTAACTCACAAAAATCACTGCGTATCTTCCCTCCGTGAATCTTCTCAAAATAAATAACACGTGGATAACAAACCAAAAAAGGTAATAATACCCGAATACGACTTGACACAAATCGCAGAAGGACATGTCAGAATTCATTCTACAAAGGCAGAATGTCAATCACAGAAATCACAGACGAAAATTCTCGTGAAGATTCCGGGTTAGAAATGGTCTTCAGCAACCCGCCATGCTTGTCGTAAGAGGCGACTAACGGGATCGGGTGGTCAGACTCGCTGACTTGGTTGATGCATGTCGTCGTATCCGCAAAGCGTATGTCGATGCTCTTGATTTTAGTCACTGGATTGTCGTGACTAGATTCGATTATTTACAGACCGCCGTCATATAGCTGGAATATTGCTGAGTGCGGCGTTAAAAAACAAACAAACAAAGCACAAACGAAAACTGATAGAACACGATCACAGCTCAATTTGAAGTAAAATTACTAAAACAATATTTAAAGATGAAACATTAAAAAGAATTTCTTTTCAAGCATGATTTAAAAAAAAATTGGTGTATCTGGGTACTGATTACAATTTTATTTGCGTCTCGCGCACGGCACTTCTGAGCCTGACTGACTGACTGATATAGAAGATTTAACGTGCGCTTTCCGACTGTAGCGTATTTCGCACACGGGCCTGGCCAGACCATTTAGTGTATTCCGAGAAGGGTGAAAGTAGTGTGTGCAACCCAAGAGGGGGCTTTTAGGGGTTGCTTAATTATATTGAATTTTTGGAATTTTTAAATTTGGAATAAATGCCGAGGTGGGTGGGGGAGGGAACTAAGGGAGCCGGGTGAGGTGGGTGTTTGTATGTTTATTGGATTTTGGATTGGTAGATTAATTAGTTTTTAGATGCGCTTAATTAGGTCTGTTTTGATTAGGAATACGCCTAGGGCCTTGAAGTTTTCTAGTTTATTTTGAGGGTTTAGTATTTCATCTAGAGTAGGAATCTTATTTAGATTGAGGGTGGTTTGTAGTGTGGTTCTGTGTGTTTTGTAGTGGGTGCAGTGGATGAGTGCGTGTTCTGTGGTTTCGGGTTGTTTGCAGTGGGGGCAGTTGCCTGTGGTGCGCCTTTTAAGTTTTTTTAGGTGGTTATTTAGGTTAGTGTGTCCTGTTTGGAGTTTTGTAATTGATCTGTGCCCCGACTTCCCTCTAAATATACCCCAAATCCCGCGTTACAAAGGGGGGGGGGGGGGGGGGGGAGGGGGGAGCGGCAGCAGCAGCAGCAGCCTCCTGACTCGGAATAACCAATGTGCAGTTTCTAATAAAAAAGAAATTATGAAAGTGGTAAACAATAGCCAGCGCGTGTAGTGAAACAATGTATTTTGTCTTCACCTTTTCTTTCCAAGATCACATTTGAAAAAAAATCTTGCGATTTAAGCATGTTTGCGTAATCATAAATTTATGACATAGCTCAAGGCCTATACGACATGTTGAATAGAAAATATACACACTAACATATTCTTATCCCGAATCCCGGATGGGACTCAACCCAAAACATTACTAGAATCTGTACTTTACTGACAAAGTGTAATCCCAAATATAACATAAGGGTTTCACTGAATAGCCTATTTAACAATATGGGTATATATTGGGCTAGTTTAATTCACTACATAGGTTTGGTGTCCAAAATTTAGAAACATATCATCCCAAGATTCAGATAACTAGCGAGCGATGAGAAGTTCGCGACTTGATGAAACGTTTGATGCATCGGAGTGTGATTCTCTGATAATTTACATTATTCATAACCATGGTGACTGTTTCCGATGTAAGCCAGGAAGAGTTATGTCCCATTAATGCACTGTGAAAGGAAATGTTCATTATTGTAAAGCGGAAGCTATTCATACTCACAATAAAGGCACTGGGGTAATGCCATTTAATTTTATCATAGAAACGATCACGCGGTCAGGAAAACGGTGGGGCTTAGCTGTGATAAAACGAATGGAATTTGTCATTTATTTCCTCGTAAGACGAGCGATATGACTTCGACGCATGCGCAATAGTTGTGCCTCATTCTGGACGCCATATTGAAGACGAGGTTGAACGATTTCGAGGTTTGTGACTCGTTTTGACAAATTTAGCACTTGTTCAAAATAGGCAGCTGGGACGGGGGGAGGTTTGAGGCCACGCTCGAGTACCCATTCAGTGCCTTGTCAGATGACATGGAGAGAAGATTACACACCAAAATAATCAATTAAACTTAAGTGTCATGGCCACACTATTATTTTACTAGATAGGAATATCTGGAAATAAGGAACACATATGATATTTTGAAGTCGCCGAGAATCTAAAACCTTCTACCGACAAACAATTTCCCTTGCCTGTTACCTCGAAATCTCTGTTTAGACTTTGTATTTATTCAAGACATGTGTATTGGAGAGAAAAAATAACAGCACTTTTCATGACGTATGTCTATTTGTATTTGCATATGATTACAGATGAGGAAATATATCGGAAGCTATGTTTTTTCTTACCAAAAACATCAACTGGATCCTAAATTCATCACACTCAAAAGAGTACTTTGAACGAAAATAACTTGAAACAATACATTAAAACAATGATGTAGATCTATCATGATCTATAGCTAATTGTTTTATGTTCAATTGAATGAAATATCAACATCATTTACTTGAATTCCATCATGTTGACCTATGTATAAAAAACCCAGTCTACTTTTTTTTCCTGTTTATATCAGAATCCAATATTAATATTTCATCAAATGGAAATTTAACACAAAAGAAAAAGGAATCATTGGGATTTAAACATATGTAGATCTACCTCAAAACTTACACTCATTTGGCAGAAAACTCAGTCATTACATACAACTCTCTCCAGATCGATATTAGATCTACAAGATATTTCACATTATTGATAATCATGATAATACTGTTTTTTAGTAAGTTCTTTTCATCTCTGCACAGATTAATGAAAATACAAAGAAAACAAATCTATTTCAGTATTCAGCATTATATTACAATTATCGGCAAAAAATCAGAATCAGAATAGTTAAGGTGAGCCAAAGTTCACAGTCTCACTGGCTTGAAAAACTGTAAATTGGAAAAAATGTCTTGAATTTGTTGCAGTTATCTGTTTACATAACTCTGTGTAAAAATGTAGACTTGTAAACAATTATTAGTCCATAACACAAATGGGACCACAAATGATGAAAATATTGAAACATTTCATGTACAAAAAGACCAATTCTGACGATAACAAAAACAAAGAATGTCCTTATGAGTGTTTGAAAGGACCTATGGGAATTCCTGGTAGAAATGTGAGCCCCTGGCAACCTGTTTTTCGGGTAGTCAGGCGAGGTAACTTGTTTGATTGCGTGTGATTGTATCCCATTGCATGGATCAGTGCTCACAACATCGACCACTGGTCAGTCAGATATAGATTCGATTATAGCTGGAATATGACTGAATGAGGCAGTATACAACAAACATAATTGATCTCAGTAGCCAACTTGTATATGTATCCTGTAGGCAATGTATCAAACACTTTCAACCAGTCATTCCAGAGGACTTGTATCCTGCACCAAAAGGTTACGACTGCCTATGTGGTCTAGGATAAAACATGGATTGGTTGTCAGCAGGAGGTGATTTTATGGATTGGGTGGTCGTGCTTGGTGAATTGGTTGATTGCGTGGTATATAAATCACTGGATTGTCTGGTCCGCAATCGATTATTTGCAGACTACCTTCATAATATCTGGAATGTTGCTGTGTGCAGCGTTAAACAACAAACTAATTGAATCATTTTTTAGTTGGCAGCATTATCATGGTTATGTTAAAAGTCTATCTGGAATATTTCTAAAAGCGGTGTAAAACCATACTCACTCACTCACTCACTAATAGAAATGCTCATAAAATGTAATTCAATTTGGCTCCAGATAAAACATGTAATACAATGCAATCTGATTTAGAAGATTTCTCATAATTTACAGAGCTACTGACCACTGTCAGTCACCACGATGACCAAAGACGATGGAGTGAGCTCCAGCTCCGACGTTGTCGTGGTTGGAATTCCTGTTGTCAGCAGCGGCAACATTGATGGTAGCATCATTGACCTCCCCCTCACAGCTATCTCAAAAGCGGAGATAAGTTCAGAGATTGACGTTGCTTCTGCAGGATTTGTTAACAATTCTTTTCTTGGCAGTGAGTTTGTTACTTTTTCTTCTTCATGTACTTTGTTAGATGGTATATCAAACAGCCTTGAAAGACTGTCCTTAGAGAACTAAAATGAAAACAGCAATTTTTGTAACCATGTTAAAATATTCTGACAATATTGGTTTGATCAGCATTATGCCATAAGGCTTGGTCATTGTATCCCAGTTGCATAAGTCGATGCTCATAATGTCGATCACTAGATTGTCTGGTCCAAACTCCAGAGGTGACTAACTGGATCGAGCGTCAGGCTCGCTAACTTGGTTGATGCATGTCATCATATCCCAGTTACATAGATCGATGCTCACGTTGTCAATCACAGGACTAAAGGGTCTAGACTAGATAATTGAAAGGCCACTGTTGTAATATTGCTGAGTGTGGTGTTAAGTACTGTGGTATTTGAATCATGGGATCTGTCAACATGCTCTAGTCTTTTCCTTTCAACATTAGGGTTATGACAAGGATCCTTTGACAGTTAACTTATATGCTAAACTTTCAGCTACTGCCGTTGTTTCAGGTGTTCGTACAGACAATGCAACCCTTCAGAGCCTCCTGGCTGCTCCGATAACCACCCCTCAGATACTGGCCAACCCAGACACCATACAGATCATCACGGTGCCCACTGCTGCCGACCTCATCACGACCTCGCAGCCAGATGGCGCTGGTAAAGTCTGGCAGGTCATCCCGAACATCAACAACCCTGAGATCGCCACCATCATCGCCGTCAGTGATCCTTCGGAGCTTCTCCAGCATATGCAAGTTAAGCCAGATACAACAGGTACAGATTGATCTGAAAAACAAAATATAGATACGCCCAGTGTGTTCCTGCGTCCTAAATAGTATATATTAGGAAACTGTTTTTTTTATAGAACCTATGTCTTTATACAGCAATGAATACAAACTTTACTTGTCATTTGCTCATATACTTGTTTCGTCATGCAATAAACTGGTTTGAGAGTATATTGCATTTGTGTGTAAAATAGCAGTAATATCCATGGAGTCGATTCTCTTTCTTAAGTTGCACAATCATACAATTTCTTATGTAATGCGAATAAAGCCTAAAGATGTATGTGTGTTTAAACATTTATTTCAGCTATCAGTGTTTTGAAAGTGGTAGTGGTGAAAAGTTGCCGTTTTATTGCTGTCAGTCTGTATGATCAGCAGTCATTGGAAAAACTCCATCACATATTTATAAATTCTGCAGTTTATAATGTTGATGTATTCCAGATGGCATGGGTCAGTTTGATGCCCAGTTTGTGACAACTGCTGACTCTGCAGGGGTCACCTGCTCCACCGACAACCTCCTCATGCCCCCTCCCCAGCCGCCACCCCAGGCCCTCCCCCCGGACTGTCCCACCTGGGCCGCAAGGTTGAAGAACTGTGAGGTAGGTCATCTAAACAGTGAGTTTCCTTAAACAGGTTTATATAGGCCTTCTTAGAGGTCATCTAAACAGTATGTTTCCTTAACCAGGGGTTGATAAAGGTCTTCTCAGAGGTCGATTGAACAGTATATGTCCTTAATCAGAGGTTTATATAGGCCTTCTCAGGGGTAATCTAAACAGTATATGTCTTTAACAAGGGATATATCTAGGCCTTCTCAGAGGTCATCTGAACAGTATATGTCCTTAACCAGAGGTTTATATAGGCTTTCTTAGAGGTCATCTGAACAGTATATGTCCTTAACCAGAGGTTTTGATATGCCTTCTCAGAGAGGTCATCTAAACAGTATATGTCCTTAACAAGGGATATATCTAGGCTTCTCAGAGGTCATTTGAACAGTATATGTCCTTAACCAGAGATATATATAGGCCTTCTCAGAGGTCAGCTAGACAGTATATGTCTTTAACAAGAAGTTTATATAAGCCTTCTTTATCTTCAATCTTCTGTCAACTGTTATATAGCTAGAATACTGTTGACAATTGTTGATCAGCATTCACTGTCTCCAACTGAGGGTAGGGGTAGCTTTGTGTTTAAAGTGATGGTAGTTTCCTACTGCTGTGGGAATTTCCAGACAGATTTTGTTCCTATGCATGCATATTGTGGCCGTGAAGATCTGGGGTAGAATAGGTCTTCAGCAACCCATGCTTACTAAAAGAGGCGACTATGCTTGTCCGGTGGTCAGGCTTTCTGACTTTGTTGATGCATGTCATCTTATCCCAATTGCGTGGATCGATGCTCATGATATCAATCACTGCATTGTCTGATCCAGGCTTGATTATTTACAGACCGCCATCATACAGCTGGAATATTGCTGAGTGTGGCGTTAAACAACAAACAAAACATGCTTGTTGCAAAAAAAAAGCTAAATCAGCATTCGGACTTGAAATTGAATAATGGTAAATAGACAAAATGGATATGGTTGTGTACAAGACCATTCAGCTTATGATATCTGGTACATCCTGCTAGAGATAATACCATAACATGTAATAATACCATAACACTGGGATTATTGCTTATTGTATTAACCAGTGTTAGACCTGGTCACAAGCCACTGGGGGGCACGGGGGCCCAGTCGTCAAAGTCGCCGCTATTTGCTGTGCAGAGTTGTGTCCCTTGGACACGCCAGAAACTTATGATTGTGGATTCGAATCCCGGTTTACCCGATTATGTGTCTAGGTTCGTCAGCACCATAGCCATGCTCTTGGGTTTCACCAAAGTGGTAAACGTCTGAGACCCGTATCACTTCAGACTTTCCTCCCACATTAAGCTGACATGCCGTGATATACCTGGAATACTGTTAAAAGTGGCGTTAAACCCAATTCACTCACAAGCCACTGTGCAAGGATGTTGACTGCTGTATTCCATTCATCAACATTTATACACTTGATATTGCTGTAAGCTTTTGGAAAGCCATCATATTCCTTTCTAACTAAAGCAATAATTAAGTAGAATAAAAAAAAAAGAGGCATAATCATTTTGACTGCAGTCAGATTCAGTGTGCATGACTTTCCAGAGAATCGGTGATTCCTACCGAGGCTACGTTGAGAGTGAGGTCGAACTTGACCTTCTGCTGACCTTCCACAAGCAGCAGACGCAGAGCTTCTGGGGCACCCGCCAGTCCCCGAGTCCAGCGAAGCCGTCCACCCGCCTCATGTGGAAGTCCCAGTATGTGCCCTTTGATGGCATCCCGTTTGTTAATGCAGGTATGTATGGTGCCAGGGATACCAAGTCTTACTCCACAGCAGAGAGCCTTCAGTGAGATGGCAGTAGTTTATGCTTCTTCAATTATCCTGGGTCCATGTCCTTTGTTTTTAATCTGGTTTCAGTGTTACAACATCAGTGTTGACTTTCACATTGTGTGAGTTCATTGGAGTATGAACCTTCATAGAGTGAGGGTGAAACTGTATGAACATCGGAGCTGCGACGACTTTTATACAATGTATTTCGACCGGACCAGACAATGGAATGAACTTAACTGAGAATTCGAAACATGTGTTCGACTGTAGTCTTAGAATCTGTGATGGAACCTCTGTGATACTACACACAGTACATTGAAGAAGAATTTCTATACCTGTTAAAAAGCATTGAACATGATTTTGTTTTTGCAGTAGACCATGTAGACTGTGGAGACATGATAGAAACATTTGAACAAGTTAAAATTATGATGCTTTTTTACTCTTAAGTATCATTTGCCTGTATGAAAAACATTTGAACCTCCTACTCCTAGTTTGAATTTTTGCTCTCAGCATTATTTTCAATAGATTTTAGTGTTATTATCATGATTTTGTTGGCTATTGTCATTGTTGATTATAAGCTGATCATACTAGACCAAATAGAATTTTACTAGACTATGGTTTCAGACCAGTGACTATAGTTTCAGACTGCGATATGCATACTCTTGTATGAGAGTATGATGTACTGGTATCATGTGTGAGTCATATTGCTTGTATAACCAGTCTGCGACTTTAACCACAAGTTCAAAGCCCAAGTCTAGTAAAATTCTTGTAAGCACAGCTAGTATCCATCTAACAGTAACATCAAGATCAACATTAAATGTTGCTTATAGCCACATTCAGGTTAGTATACTCAAAGGTATTTTTGCACAGACTGTATAACTATAACTATATTCACGACACAATGACTTCAGGTCAAAGCTTCAAGTTTAGGTCCCTGGCATGTCGCCCACTGGTGTAAGGGGAGGTAATCACTGTACTGTCTGTGATTGCAGGGAGTCGAGCTGTGGTGCAGGAGTGTCAGTATGGACCGAGACGGAAGGGGAACCCCAAGAAGCAGCTGGACATCCCCATCAAGGGGGAGTACAGGCAGACATGTCCTGCAAGGTAAACATGGACACTGTTCTTCCACAGTACAATCTACAGTTATGGCAACACACAGAGAACTTTATTCAAGATGCGTGCTCAACTTCTTTCGGAGTATTTGAACTTTTTCGAAGATAGCTATTTTAAAAATTTGATGAATTATATAAATGTGGCTAAAATGAGTGATTTGTTTTACTTCAAATGGGCAAGTTTTGGTTTGGTTTGTTGTTTAATGCCGCACTCAGCAATATTCAAGCCATATGATGGTGGTCTGTAAATAATCAAGTCTGGACCAGACAGTCCAGTGATTGACATCATGAGCATCGATCCACGCAATTGGGATACGATGACATGCATCAACCAAGTCAGTGAGTCTGACCACCCGATCCCTCAAATGGGCAAGTCAATGACCCAGTTGACCTTTTATCATATGTTTGTACTGTTTTTATCTATGAAAATCAGACTTGCTCATGTTTAAATATTAGACGTTTCCAGAAAACCTCTAATATCACCTGTAACATTTGTTCCTGATCTATGCATTATGTTGTCATAAGTCCTAAACATGCATATGTTCAGATGAGCAAAGCCGTTCTCATTTATATGAACACATCTGATAACTTTCAAAACAAGTTTGAGCAATGTTTCTAATTTCTCAAATAGTGGATATCCTGTTGACCAAAAAGGGCCCTTGTCCTACCTTGTCCTTTATTTAAGTCCAATACATCTGTGTTTCAGAATATACATCAAGAAAGTGAGAAAGTTCCCCGAGTTTTATGTATCAACAACACTAGATAAGAAATCCTTAAAGATTGCCATGGACAAAGCATTTCAAGACCTGAAAGACAGGGGCGTCGACGGCTGGGGGCAGGAGAGGTAATATATATATATATGTTACCAGTCAGTATTATGTATATCTTGATAATCATTAGGCCTTTTGATTAAATATGGGAGTGGGGCACGTTGCCCCAGTACTCAAGGCATCACAATTCTGTTGCCAGAAACCCATTATCATGATGATTGTGGCTTGGAATCACAGTTTCTAGGTTGACCAGCACCATACCCATGCTTGTGGGTAGCACCAAAGTGGTAAACATCTGTTGTGATCACACTTTTTCTTGTTTAGGGAAAGGAAATGGTCAACCAAAATGTCTTGCTGCAAATGAATTCGGTAAAAAAAGTCTCCTCATTGTTTTAAAAAAATACCATAGACTTGACATGTTGGACCATGTTGACCCAAGACAGAAAGTTTAAACGTGATAAATAGAACACCCAAAGTGCTCAATGAAAATGATTGCTTTTGAGTTATTACTCAATGGCTAATGTTTCTGAAGCACTGTTGGTCTCTCAGCTCCCATAGTACTCATATTAGTTTTTTTGTTAACGTAGCACTCCGTAATATTCCTGCTATGTGATGGCGAATTATCAAGTTTGGACCAGACAATCCAGTGATTGATATCATGACCATCCATCTGTGGGGGAGCATGGGTGGCCCAGTGGTCTAAGGCGATACGCTGTGCAGTGTTGTGTCCCTTGGGAAAGCCAGAAACCTATGATTGTGGGTTCAAATCCCGGTTCGCCACGATTATGTTTCTAGGTCTGTCAGCACCATACCTGTGCTCGTGGGTTTCACCGAAGTGGTAAACGTCTGATACCTGCATCACTTTGTGCTTTCCTGCCACATTAAGCTGACACACAGTGATGTAACTGGAATAATGTTAAAAGTGGCATTAAACCCAACTCACTCTCTCACCCCACCCATCTATGCTAGTGGGATATGATGACATGCATCAACCAAGTAAGCGAGCCTGACCACTCAATCCCGTTAGTCGCCTCTTACAACAAGCATGGGTTGCTGATGACCTATTCTATCCCTGATCTTCATGGAGGAACTCCCACATTAGACATTGTTAGACCCAGTGAACCGCTGCTCACTCCTGTGTTTGTGTGTGTCTTCAGATACTATGTCCAGCTCCCGACGGAGAAAGCTCACGAATTCCATGAAGATGTTCCCCAGCCCCCCAAGTTGATGATTACCCCGGCCAAGTTAGAGTTTGACGACACCGACTGTGGCGAGCAGCGGCTACACCCTCGGGTCGTGCAGAAAATACGAGAGATGGTCTCGGCAGGAGAAACTAGAGTCTACGCCATACGCAAACAACTAAGGTACTGACCTTTACACGCTTGATGGTGATTGGAGAGTGAACAGGGCTTTGATTTTGTTGAAATTTTTATTGTTTCCAGAGTTGTAGAGTAATACAGTATTCCCTCAAAACATATTTCGGATTGCAATAGAATGACACAATACACTCTTTAAAAATTTAAAGGTTTGGAAACAAACATTGTCACGTTATATATTGTTGTTAAGAGTTGTACTCAGCAAAATTCCTTCTGTGTGAAGTAAATATTCCATGAAGTCTGGACCAGATAAACCAGTGACTGTTATTGTAAGGGTTGTGTTTGTGAACACTATTAATAGTAAGGGTTTTTCCCTGGCTCGAACTAGCTCCCATGGTCAATTGTTACGTCGGATCTGACGCCATGTGTGTTCTATGTAGTCTGCCTACTCTCAGCGCATGGCAAACACCATGATAAAAAGACGCTTTTGAAGTAATTAAACTGTGTTGACCGTACACGTAGTTAGTCCTTCCGGCAGCAGCTGGGGTCTCCTTTGGTTCTGTAGCAAGAACATGACAGCAACATCCCACACTATCAGGGTACAATGACAGCAATCGACTGAGCCGCCAAGTGTTGAACAACACTCACTCCCTTTACTGTCTACCAAATGTCTGCATTGGTATTAATGAGAGCTGTTGTACACGCAGGGTGTTTGTGGTGAAGGAGTTGTGTCACGGGGGAGAAACTCCAGAACGCCATGATCTCACCTTGTTCCCGACTGTCAACGATCTCAAGAATCACATTCATCAAGCTCTCAAAGACATCGAAAATGGCTCTCTACCACTCACGGCTTCAACTGTAAGTAGCTGAGATGCCAGCCAACTTGAATACTATTCCTTGATTGTGTCTCACTTGAACTGACAGTTCACATGGAAGGTTTAGCAACAGCATCAGCTACAGTAATGATTGTGTTCTTCAAGGATGTGATTTGATGCCGCACCATGTCTTTTCTCAATTTTGAAAGTATTTAGCATGTTCAAAGAGGTGGGGGTGGTAGCACAGTCATATTGTTTGTTAAGCATGGAGGAAATAGTTGTGTTGTTTCTTTTTACATTTCCTGAGATATTGCCAGACTAATATAAAGTGACTTTGTCACAGATTTAAGATGAGTTGTGACAACAATCTTTGCATGTCAGATTTTGAAATTGCTTCACTTTTTCTTTTTTGGTTTCAAATTTGAATAAGGCAAAATCAATGCAACCTTTTCCGCAGAATTTTCTACAAGATATTTGGTCTTTCACATTTTTTAATTGTTCTTTGCTCAATGTATACTTTTATCTTTGTGATTTGTGGCAGTTAGACATGTTAAGGCTGCATCTGCTCATAATGGTAGCTTTGTGTGACCCGGTTACTGTATAGAGCTGAGAGGGGCGGTCGGGTAGCCTAGTGGTTAAAGCCTTTGCTCGTCACGCCGAAGACCTGGGTTTGATTCCCGACATGGATACGATGTGTGAAACCCATTTCTGGTGTCCCCCGCCGTGATATTACTGGAATATTGCTAAAAGTAAAAGCGGTGTAAAACCATACTCAGTCAGTCAGTATAGAGCTGATGCTGAGAATGTGCTCAGTTACTGCTATTTATGATGGCCTAATGATTCTTCCATTATCAGGTGAATGTCGAAATAATCACCAACCAGGATGGAACATCCACATCATCACTGGACCCTCACGGGGAGCTGCAGTCCTTTGACCCCTCCATACTGTCTGGGGTAGCACCTGGAGAGGATGGGCCCATGCCAGAGACTGTCACTGTCACCCTCACACAGAACCCTGGAGAAGGTAGGTCACACACAACATGGGGATGTAGCAGCGTTAGAAATTGGCACTTGTCCTGTAGTCCTTACCAAACTGCCCAATAGTAAAGGTATCCTAAGGACTAGTCACAATTGGCCCATTTTAAGGGGTTTTGCTATATGTTATCATTATAAGGACTATTGGACAAAAACTGTTAGTTTCTAACCCTGTGTAGGTCAGCCTCACAGAGAAACCTCGGGAAATAGGTCAAGTTTCAGTTGAAATGATTGTCTGAAGTTTGTATGGAGTGTGTTTACAATCAGGTGCTCTCCATAGTTACCAATTCTGTGAATGAATGTAATGAACCCCACCAGATTTCAGGTTATGGGTTCAAAGTGTGGACATTTGACAACCTTGATGAATGTTCTGTAGATGGCCACCACATCATATCTCGCATCGAGACCCACCTGAGCGACGGCACCACCCAAGTGAGCACCACCCTCACCCCGGAGACGGCCCAGCTACTGTCCCGCCTACACCCGGGGATGTTCCCAGCCGGCAGTCTGCTACAGGTGAGGAAGAGAGGGGAGACACTTGTACTTTCCAGCTCACGGATTTGACCAACCAGAGCCAAAACTTCCAATCATCAGTTACACTAAAGATAGTGTTAAGTTATTTCTATTTGCTGAATGCTCCATTTTAGATGCCTTGCTTTTGCTTCAGATGAAGCAAATGCTTAATCGGGAGATGAGTCTGTATTTGCAAAGTAATTGTCCTTCTCCAGTAAACCTCCCTGACCAACTTCTAGACCAGTCTGAAAGTAATGTTTACTTTACTTATCTTTACTAAGGGCCCCTACCAAGACCGAATATAAACGTGACAGTAGCTCATGGCAGCATAGAACGAGTATATGATCGCCTCATAATTATTATAAGAATAGTTTTAGTTTCACAGACGTTTGACCTAAATTTGTTCACTACTGCTCAATCTCTGAAAACAAATTTTACTCATTGTATATGGTTTTAACATGTTTAATAAACATTCCTTTGAATTTTCTAAGCACTCAGTGCGATTATTACAGCAAATACGGATTATTACAGTGAATTGAATTGTTCTGGACAAAATTTACGAACAAATGTTTTTTGCATGCCTAGATTTCAACATTTCTATCAGGTGATCCAGGTGTCCCCTGCTGGAATATTGCTGGAATATTGCAAAAAGCAGAGTAAAACCAACCACACTCACTTGCTCCATATTTCAGCTCTCGCCGATGCAAGGACCCACCACTGCACAGGAGATGGGGTCCTCACAGGACATCGTCGTCGGCAGTGCCATGGGAGATGATGCAGAGCAGAATTGTGATGATATGGAGACCTCCCAGAATGCCGATGCACTTGACGGGACAACCCCGCTACATATCGTTGACACTCAGATCATACATAATGATGATTGTGATGATGAAGATGAAGGTGAAGACATGGGGAATGTGGACACTTCACTGGAGCAGGCACACATGAATCACACTCAGATGCACCAGACACACATTGATCAGGACGACCTTGATCAGGCTCAGATGGCTCAGGCACACCTGGAGCAGACACACATGATAGCAGTGTCTTCCATGGAAGGTAGTTGTTCAACTCATTTGCCATTGAAATACGAATGCCTGTCAGAGGGTCAGCAATATAGCAATCGGTGAAAAAGGCAATCGTGACGATGGTTCATTGTGTATTTGGCTCTCGTGGCCTAACAAGCTGTGTGGCCAATTTACAATGACTAACAATAACAATAATCTTTCATGTTTGATCATGTTGATTGTTGATGATGATGCAGTTTTTCAAATTCAATGCTTTGACCGCTTTGACCCATGCACCAATGTTCTCTTTCTGTTACATTGGTTCAACTTTCTACTTGAAATGAGGGCATGTGTGACCCAATTGTGTAAAGGTTCACAAGTCACTGTACAGTTGCCTCCCTTAGTCACCCCAGAATCCGACTCCCTACATTGCCCTGATTATGATTCTTGGTCTGAAACATCTAGGGCTGCATCGCTTCAGTTATTTGTTCTGACATTTCAGGTCTAACTGATGGAGGGGCAAGAAGTAGCCATTAAATGTCGCAACAAACAATGAAGTAGTTATCATCCATATACATTTAATGTCTTCATGTTCTTCCAAATGCCTTTCAAAGACAAAGAGTTAAAAAGGGGCGGTGGGGTGGCCTAGTGGTCAAAGCGTTCACTTGTCATGCCAAAAACCCAGGTTCGATTCCCGACATGGGTACAATGTGTGAAGCCCATTTCTGGTGTCCCCCCGCTGGGATATTGCTGGAATATTGCTAAAAGCGGCGTCAATCCATACTCACTCATTTTTACTCACTCGTCAAGCTGAAGACCTGGGTTCGATTCCCGACATGGGTACAAATACTACAATGGTGCTCCTCGCCGTGATATTGCTGGAATATTGCTAAAAGCGGCATTAAACCATACTCAGTCAGTCTGTCAAAAAGTTAAAGGCACACTTTGAATTAATTGCATGTATTTCCCACAATTCAAAGCAATTGCACATTAAGCATGGTGTTTAGCGCAATGCAATAAATTTCATTGTAGTTTTAACTTTTTTTTATATTTTCTGGAATTGAAATGTGACAGATTGAACCGGGTATCATGTGAATATTGCTTGTGTTTCAGATGAGCATGGATTGGTGCATCTGACAACAGCTACCTCTCACCCTGGTATCTGACTATATGGCTGAGACCTTGTCAGCATGTCTCAAGTGTGGCCAATGTGTTGTCGGCATATTTCACTAACCCTGCCTCAGTGTGTGTTTGAGGTCTTGTCTTTTATTAATATCTCACTGTGGTTGAGATTGATATCCCACTATGTGGCTAAGATGTTGTTAAGATGTTTAACTATGTGGTCATCATGTCTAAATTTTGTTGGCAAGATCTTGTCACTGTATTGCACATGTACATGAGATCAAGATATCTCACATATGGCTGAGATCTTGTCTTCATCACTCACTATCTCACCGAGACGTCAGCATATCTCACATGTGGTTAAGATCTTGTCAACATATCTCACATGTGGCTGAGATCTTGTCAACATATCTCACATGTGGCTGAGATCTTGTCAACATATCTCACATGTGGCTGAGATCTTGTCAACATATCTCACACGTGCTGATATCATGTCTTCATCACTCACTATCTCGCCGAGACTTCAACATGTCTCACATGTGGTTGAGATCTTGTCAACATATCTCACATGTGGCTGAGATCTTGTCAATGTATCTCACACGTGGCTGATATCATGTCAATGTATCTCACACATGGCTGAGATCTTGTCAACATATCTCACATGTGGTTGAGATCTTGTCAACATATCTCACACATGGCTGAGATCTTGTCAACGTATCTCACACGTGGCTGATATCATGTCAATGTATCTCACACATGGCTGAGATCTTGTCAACATATCTCATGTGGCTGAGATCTTGTCAACATACCTCACATGTGGCTGAGATCATGTCAACCTTTTTCACATATGACTGAGATCTTGTCTTCATCACTCACTATCTCACCGAGACGTCAACATATCGCACAATGTGGCTGAAACAATGTCAACATATCTCACATGTGGCTGAGATCTTATCTTCATCACTCACTATCTCACCAAGATGTCAACATATCGCACAATGTGGCGAGATCATGTCAACATATCTCACTGTATTTCACCGAGACGTCTGCATTCTTCACCCTGCGGCTGACTATCACTGTGATTGCGCTGACTCTGCTGTGTATGGCTGGGGAACTGACTACATGATTTCCCACATATCGTCTGGCATGCAGCATCGTCTCACAAACAGGTGCTTGTTGTGACCACATGCACAGTCTGGAAGCGCTGTAGACTCTGATCATATGTAACATACCTGTAACATACCATACGCACTAGACATCTTCAGGTTTAGAAATGAACATCAGTTAGCTATTCGGAGACTTATAATTCAGGACCGACTTGTGACATTTCCTTGTGCACTACCACCTTTTTCATTAGGAGCAGCAACGTCGTAATATAACTGGAATACTGTTAAAAGTGGCGTTAAACAAAACTCACTCAATTCATTAGGAGCATGGCAACTCTTTTTGGGACTAGTGGAAAAATAAAAAATTCTAATCCTGAAAATGTGAGACATGTAAGCACCTTGCAGCCAGTTTGTGACAATCAGTGAATCAACATCCACTGCATTTGATTTCCAAAGGTTAACTATTATGATGATGTTGCGCTGTTTTGACTGGCCATTGTGACCCAAATTTAAATACAGTATTCAACATAATAAGCCCCCAGGGCGATATTTGCTAATATATTGGCTAGTGAACAATCCCAATTAGCACCCCTTCCGATTGGTCAATGTACACAAGACTTAACTTGTTTGATAGGCATTACTTAGAAGTTGGCGGATGACAAGATTATGAAGATAGACACAATTTTATGGATAACAACTTCTTTAATACTGTAAAAAGCGACGTTTCAGTATAGATCCTTATACCGTTGTCTTGTTGGTACACAAGACTTATTTATTAGTGTATAATACATGTGTTACATGCATCCTTAATTATGGGAAACTAAATTCTGGAAAAATATATCTGTCGTATATAAACATTTCAGGCTGTCAGCATAAATCACAAAATTTATGATCTTTCAACTCTGTTGTTTTTCACCAAAATAATATTTTAATAAGAGCCCCCTATTTCATATTTTGAGAGTGCCCTGGGCGTTTATTATCTTGAATACAGTAAGCAAAACTGACACAACTATAGGTCATTATGCAAAATTATAGAAAAATTATATATCGACCATAACATGGTTTAAGTCCGACAAATCACTCGAATGAGTTGAATCCAGAAGTAGAATCAAGAGATTCTCATAATTTTGCCATTACAAGGAAAGGTTTGGAAATCCCTTCTTAGCATTCGTTATGACCAGAATGACTGCAAACTTCATCCAAACCAACGAACCTCACTCATGACACATTGTTTGTTGCTGTTGTTACCATGGTAACTGTAGACTTGCATGTCTCATTCTGTCACTGCTGATAACTATGCTGCTTCATAAACTGTATTGAATGATGGATGCAATGTGTTGGTCAGATTCGGCTTTATTTTAAAACCACCTTACTTTGGAATTTGATTAAAAATAGAACCCCAATATATCCTCCATTGTACACTCAGTTTGGTGTGTAGATGCACCAACAACAGAAAGTATAAGCACAGCTTCTTATTTTTGCATTCTGAGATTCCCAGTTACATTTGATTTTGAGATACAGAATTTGGATATGCTAGTCTGAATGCTTTGTAGCGAGAATTTAGAGGCCTTGAAGCTAATATAAAAAAATCACCTGTTGTGACCTATGGAGGACTGGTGTTCTAAGATCTTCACACAGAGAGCTATTGTATCAGAGTAAACAATCTAATATTGAGGAGATTGAGATTGACAAATTTGATGTCAAGGTTGCAAGATTGATGTGAAGGGAGGTATTAATATTTATGTATATTCATTCATACAATCATGAATAGATCAAATAATATTTGAACCAAGTTATTCATTTGATTTATGAGAATTTAGAAATCTGTAATGTTGATAGTGTAAGCTCAATTGCACAGTAGTTTTGAACACATGGATATAATAATATATTGATGTTTACTTTTCAACACTAATATGTTTCTCTGCATCTAGAATAATAAAATATCTGTCAGACAACATTGACAGATTTGTCTGGACAAATCAGTAAGAATATAATGGATGTACGTTTTTTTGTATGTGAGATCAAAGATTGAGATGTATAAAGGCCGAAGGTCATGTGGACTGCTTGCCATGTGATGTGCCAGTGTACTGGCGGATAGGATGCATTCAATGTGATTTGTTGTCTACTTCCAGGAGACAGCTGGTAGTGGTTTACATTACTATTCTATCTGTGATCTTGTGTTCCGTGTATCGTGTATCATGTATCATGTATGTATAGTGTTATTTAAGTTTCTTGGTCATGAAGTCTCCATGTTGAAGATAATGAGGATGTTAGAGTTGATTTCATACCCACAATCAATTTCATGAAATTCTCAGTCTACTAAACTACATTTTATATTATCCAGTGTATATCTCCATTCTATCATTATATATACGTCAACCTATTCGCTTGCTTCATCTTAAGCCAGATTTGAATGTGATGCTAAACATAGCCATCCAATGAAGTTACACTTATGAGCTGGAGGAATCTTGTGCTAAGTTAGTGATGAGAGAGATAAGGTTACGGAGGCAAATGGGTCCAGTTTATCACTATATGATGAAGATATAGTGAGCTGGGTAATCAAGATGGGCTATAAAATTTATTTAATTTTTTTGTTAAGGCGTCATTTCACAGTTTGTCTTGACACTATTTACTCGATCTTTTTTCCAGGTCAAATGAAATATTGCAACAGTGTCAGGCTATTTGTGAAATGTGCAGTCTTTTGAGGGTGCAGGTGTGTACTGAACCCAGTGCAGATGAAGTGCGTTAATCACGATGATTCAATAACTCTTTTTCTCATCTCCATCTTTTACCAGTTTTTACAGAAAACACCACACTCTCTCTAGAGACGTTTAATCACATCTAACTCTTTCCTCCTCTTCAGCAACCAACTCATGACCAAGAAATGTATAATATTGCCTTATTTATATGTTGAATTTCATTTGTTGTGTGTACAAATATCTCCATGTATGCCCTAGGCATTGTGAACTGCACCAGACGTAGGTTTGCTCACTGTTATTTATTTTCTGTATATATAATAGGATCTTATTTGCATAACATGTAAAATATGTACATAATGTGATTGACAGCATGCCACACATTGCGAGATGTATTTCATTTGTATGACAAATATATGAAATGGTGTTCCTAATGTCTGGAGAACTGCACAGTATAGTGTGTCAAATAGTGCTAATGGACAAGACTTCTGTCTATGCGTGACCTGATCAAGACAAATGTTTCAAATTCAGGATTGACAGTGATGTGTTTTCTTTGGGTGGGAAATACCACCCTACCCATCTGTTTGATGTACATTGTTTGTGTAAATGTGACTCACATCCTTTATCGAAACAGGCTTTTGTTTAAATGCACAGCAAGTTGGAGCTACTGCAGCACTGAGCTGAAGAGACATGGCTCCAACATGGCTCCTACATGGCTGCAAATATTCTGTCAACAAATAAAATAATGTTCAGACACTGTTGTTGTGTTATCTCTATTTGTAGCAAAATTACAATAGTGGAAACAAAACCTGCTAAATTTTATATAAAAACTGTTACTAAGGAACAGTGGTAGCTTTGGAGGCATTATAGTGGTCACAGACATAAACTGACATCACATTCAGGGGATTATTTTAGAGATGTTTTCATTTGTAGCTCTATCTCACTCACACACACAGTAGATATATATCTATCTGTCGGCATAGATTACAGTTTGTGTAATGTACTTGGAACACCTCATGCGAATTCAGCAGATTGTCATATAGCTGAGGGTGGTGTGAAATGAACATGGAACAAATAATGTTCCCAGTAGCACCAGTCATATGATTTCAAGGTTTTGTCTTTCAATAAGCAAGTCAAGGAATGTCCCATGTTTCTCACCTGCACAGCTTCAGGTTGACCTAAATAAGTTGTCCTGTAAAACGCAAAGGCTTCTGCTTCTATTGTGAGGTGAAATGGGGGTTTAATGTCGTGTGTGTGTGCTTGTACTAGTTCGGACTAATGTTGATTTATAGTGCTAGCCCACTGAGATACCATGCCACAGTTTAACATGAATACCCTACTTTGACACAGTATACTGAATCTGAGCTGACCAGCCCTTGTTAAAGCCCCATAATGTCAGGCGCCAGACAGGGTAAGAACAAATACCATCTTTTAACGTCTTTGTTGTGATACGGCCATGGATCACACCCATGACCTTCTGCTCTCCAAGCGGACGCTCTACCAATAAGATAACGGAGGTGGTCTCTGCTTCTGTTTAGACGGTGCTGACTGCATGTGCACATGTCAATACTGGAGATGTAACAATCACCTGATCACCTGTCACCTAATATGTGATGCATTCGCAACATCTACACCCTGTCCACCTCTGAAAAACATTAAGATGTGTGAAAACAAATTCGCACACAAAAACTATCTGCTGCATCAATATAAAACAGGTAAAGATGGTGCATGCTTGACCAATAACGTATCTATTTTCTGACACGTCTTAGTTTTGTGTCAATGATCGGCCTCATGCAAGCAAAAATTTTTTTTCGACTTAATGCTCCAAAACCTCGTTCAGCTCCAACACTCACACCGCCTCCGTGGTCTAGTATTAAAGCGTCTGGGGTTCGATCCCCGGCCGCGTCATACCAAAAGACGTTAAAAGATGGTACTTGTTGTTACCATGTCTGGCGCTCGGCATTAAGTACTGGTCGGCTTGGAGTCAGTATACTGTGTCTGAGTGGGGTATTCATGTTAAACTGCGGCACAGAATTTCAGTGAGCTAGCTCTATAAATCGGCATCAGTCCGGACTAGTACAAGCAGCCACATATGTTCATGCACGTCGCTATAGACATGCTAGAACAGCAATAATCTTTGTCGCGTTAAACACAATTTCCCCTCACCTCACCTCGCCTCATGCTAGCATTCTTGAGCAAGGAATAAAAACAGAACAGACTTGTATTCATTTATATACTTTAATTTTTGGATTAAGTACACAATAATCCCCAGCCATGATATATTACTTCATTTTCCACAGCGTTATGTACAATGTACCTTAAATAATTCTCCTACAGAGCATATACTATGTACAACTTTGAAAATACTTTTATTGAAAGACATTTTATGGGATGCATTCAAACAGACTGTTATTTTGATATGCCTTGAGAAGAAATACACCAATGCTACCAATAGCAACTTAACACCATGCAAAAAAAAGAGTGAGCTTGAAAACTAGTGCAAAGTAAAACTTACGGCAATATTTCTGGGGAAGCATACCCAGCATTGGTCTTAAACATGAACACAAAATTTCCAACAAAAAAACAAACAGGAAGCTAGAAAGGAAAATAAAACATAAAAATGGAATGCCATAAGCAAAATATTAACTAAAAATGACCTAAGCAGACAAAATAAATAACCCCAACATCTGCGACCAATGTCATTCATAAAAGCAGAATCACAGGCAAGATTTGTATGACTAACAGATACATGGCGGATTTGTGTCATTTATCCCTCTTCACGACACACGTCCCAGACCGTGTACCGGTTTATAAATTCATAAGCAGAATATATTGCATGGAAGAGGAAATTGACAGGACACACTAGCCAGATGTGGTAAATATGTAAAAATATGACACATCTTTGTCCCATTGTGTGGAATAAAAGTACTGATTACAAAGTAAGATTAGTGTCAGGTGGGGAATATAAAGTCTGACACAGAGTATGTAATAACAGTGGAATTGATAAGACAATAACAGATGTTACCATGTGTGGGTGCCAGGAAAAAAATACAAAAATGGATTATCAGCTGATTGGGACATGAAAACCAAAATTGGGAGACATGTCGGGCCCGATCCACAAAACGGTCATCTGTTACCCAATAGAGTTCAGACAATGGCAGTGGTACGAACCTTTGTGGCTTAGATTTCTATGTGTTTTCTGTGAGTGAAAAGAGACAAATGGAAGGTGGGGATTTGTGGCAGCGGATGTGAAGTAAAACAAGAAACATTCCCTCACACACCTCAATACAACCGACCTATCTACATATTTACACGCACACCAAAGCACCACTGTACAGATAGATATTCATATCCTCCCACCTTGTCTGTTGAACACAATGGAATGTGTACCAACTGTGTAGTTTACATCATTTTATATGAGAGCCAGTTTGGTGGATGAATTGTGTAAAGGGTAAATATCAAAACCCACAGTATGTCCCCTGACAATGTGTATCAAAATGTATGTACTTAATGGACAGTGTTACCATTTATTTTGTCAAATGCATGAAACTTCATATTTACATGTTAATCAATGAAGCAAACCCATGACCTTCCTATGCTTCAGACACACACTTTAATATTTCCAAACATGCATTCAGTATGATCCCTCGTGACATTAAATCGTATCCTATTATGACCCAAACAGTCAGCCATAGATCACATTATACATCCACAGTGCTAACTCCCAATGCGCAGGTGTGATCATTATGAAAGTAGAGATGGTTCGGCAACACTGTTGACCACACATTCCACAAAATATCACAAAATCACCTCAGTTTCTTCAACAAAACCGAGAATATTGTCCTGTACATGTATCAGCATGGGGTCCATCCCACGATAAGATTTCTTGAATTGACCACCATTAGCAATGTCCCTGGGGTCTCCTACAAGTCCAGGACGGCAGGACGGCGCACACTGTGGGAATGTTGAGTTGGCCTTCCATACAAGTTGATGCAAGTATGACACTATTGTCTCAACTATCATCACATACAGTTTGCAGCAAAGCCACATGGCTGATAATGTAGATGTCCATTTTGGTCACCCATACATTTCAGGTCTAGCTGATAATGTCGATATCCCCATACCATCTTCACAAAGCAAGACACCGGCTTCACAATATCTCCACGAAAACTTGCACAAAATCTGTCCCAACTAGACTCTCATATCCTCTAAATTTGACACATTTCTCGGAATAGATATGTCCCCACTGGTCTTTCATATCCTGTATAGCTTGAAACGTCTCTCGGAATACATATGTCCCCACTGGTCTTTCATATCCTGTATAGCTTGAAACTTCTCTCGGAATACATATGTCCCCAGTGGTCTTTCATATCCTGTAAAGCTTAAACTGTCTCTTGGAATACTGGTCTCTCATAAAAATCCTGTGAAGCAGGATACCAGGAGGATGTGCAGCAGGATGAAGTAGGCCCAGATGACAGTCCGTATCCCCGGGCGCATCCTCATCACCTTGGTCAGCTGACGGCTGGAAAAGGAGAAGTATTCCCTGAAGAGGAATAAACAACAAAGTATGACAGACACAGGCAGAACATGCTGTTACACAAGCAGCTACAGGGAGGGTGGGAGCGAGGGAGGGCAGCAGTGAACACTAATCCTCAACTGTCCTGGACCTCCATTCTATTGGGATAAATACCCTGGACCCATTTGCAACCACAGATTCATTTTGATCCAATGAAATCACTCTCAAGTGCAAGAGAAATTGTGTGCGATGATTCTGATGTGAGAGATGAGGTGGTGATGTAACAGAAAATGCTATGGCTGCAAACTGGTCCGAGGGTAATAATCATAGAATGAAGCCGTACTACCCTGGACGTCAGAGGATGGTGAAACCTTGGTGTGTACCATACAGCCCCATGCGAACACTCAGAAATATTCAAGTGTCACTTCGTTTTCAAGTACTTTTTACCTGGTTGAAAGCTCTGCCGAACCAAAATATTAAAAGCGATAATGTGGAATAAAATGAAAATCATAAATTCTTTTCACTACATCTAAAGACTGTTGAATAATTACTGTAATTAACAATAATAATGTCAATGACATAATTTAGAAAAGAAATTCTCTTATTTACAATCTGTGAAAGTCTCTTTAGCATGGATAGTTTCTGTAAAGATCTGTTCCGTGAATCCACTATTCCTCATGACTCGCAGGAACAAGTACAAGACTGACTCACAGTAACGAGATCGTCTACACAGAGAAGGTGCTCGCCAAGGTTTCACTTCACTAGCTGGTAACTAGAGAGGTTGTATGAACACAGCACCGTTATTAGTATGACACGTAATAGAGGTCACATATGCACATAATCAACTACTTCCATGATGCAACCTACAAGAGAGAAGTCCAAAAGTTTAAAGTCTGATAAAACTCACATTTGTTTCAGTCTGAGTGAGTGAGTGAGTGAGTGAGTGAGTGAGTTTGTTTCAGTCTGAGTGAGTGAGTGAGTGAGTGAGTGAGTGTGAGTGGCTTGTCTATGTGATTCATGTTTTTCATCCAGCATCAAACATTTGATCTTCTGCCTTACATGTTTTGATTACATGGACTGTGTTAGTCAGTCTGGAGCTTCTGAAGCATGAAGTATGATGGATGGTGTTTCAATGTTCACCAAACATCTATTCACACTTCAGTTGGGGATTAGTGAGTGAGTATGGTTCTACACCGCTTTTCGCAATATTCCAGCAATATCACAGCAGGGGACACCAGAAATGGGCTTTACACATTGTACCCATGTGGGGAATCAAATCTGGGCGTGACAAGCAAATGCTTTAACCACTAGGCTACCCAACTGTTAGGGATAGGGATTAGATATAATCCATCTCACAAACCAACACCAAACTTGAATACACATAAATATTAACGGTGAAAACACACACAAACACACACACACACACACACACACACACACACTGAGAAACCATGCCATGTCTACAATGTGATACCATGCCATGTCTACAATGTGATACCATGCCATGTCATACAATGTGATACCATGTCATACTATGTCATACCATGTGATACCACGTCATGCCATGTTATACTATGTCATACTATGTGATACCATGTCATACTATGTCTACTATGTGATACCATGTCATACTACATGTATGTCTACTATGTCAGACCATGTCATACTATGTCATACTATGTCACACTATGTGATACCATGTGATACCATGTCAGGCCATCTTATACTATCTGATACTATGTGATACTATGTCATGCTATGTCTACTATGTCAGACCATGCCAGTAAGTCTAGGTGTGAAACAGGTTAAAAGATGGCTTACTTCTTCATTCTGGCCCATCTGCACATTCTCTGACAGTAGCCCATTCCATGACGAGCTGAAACATAGCAAGGTGTCCGCTAGTACACATTGGCTTACAATGGCGTGCAGTGTCTTATTCTAATCATTCCAAAACACGAACAGAACAAGAGAAGAACATTGTGTTGCCAGCTTTAAAAACCTGGAAATGTAGGCAGATCTTCTTCATGACATGGATACCGTGATCAACCAGTATTTCATAAAATCACACAAAGTGAGTATATCTGTTAATGAATTTGTTTTTAAATGACAACTACTGTAGAAAATGTCTAGGTACTTTCAAATACCATGATTAATGATTGAGGTTGCAATGTTTCAAGTAGTCGCAACATTCTGAATAAGCACAAAAGATGATGTTAAATACATCTCTAAGTGAGTGAGTTGGGTTCAATACTGCTCTGAACTGTGGGGTCAAAACCCAAAGTGGTGCTGTTCTAGACGTGTAAAACACACGACACTGAGTACGGTGTTGACAAATGTAGGGACATAATCAGGATGTTTTTTGGATTCCAACTCAGCTGATCCTGTCACACAAGGGGACACAACAAATCATATCGTCCCTGTAGTGAGTGAGTGAGTGAGTGAGTGAGTATGGTTTTACGCCGCTTTTAGCAATATTCAAGCAATATCACGGCGGGGGACACCAGAAATGGGCTTCACACATTGTACCCATGTCGGGAAGCGAGCCCGGGTCTTCGGCGTGACGAGCGAACGCTTTAACCACTAGGCTACCCGACCGCCCCTATCGTCCCTGTAACTCATATAAGGATGTCAGCTGGTGTTGTGATTGCCACGTAGCTCTAACTGTTAGCGAGCCCCTTAAGGACAATCTGTCGCTGACATGAAGAAATCAGCTGAAAATCAGAGAAAGCCAACGACACAACCAATCAACATCTGCTGAGGACCAAACAGTCATCTTTAGTCAAAGATGTGGTCCTCAGCCAATGCTAAGTTGTATAGTAGCTTATTCTTCCTATGCCAGCAGGTGATGGAGTTGTGTTTTACACCACTTTGAACAGTGCCAGCTTGATGTGGGAGGAAAACCTGAAGTGATGCTGATGTTTATCCCCTCCCATCCTCTGCACTTACTCAGCATCGTGTTGACCTCCCTGATCCTGGAGTCCCCCTCCTCCTCCATCTGGAGATGGACCTGCAACACAACACAACCATGTATAGAGGAACTTCCTGTAGAGCTTGCTGGGCCACGTCCTCATGTCACATCCAGGTAGGTAGAAGGTAGTACTTGTCAGGGTGGTCTAAGGCCTGTTACTTTTATTAGCAGCAGAAAAGCCCCCGAAAATTGAATAAATAAATAAATGCAATCTGAAAACATATCTTGAGGCCGACTCTCAATTTCAATTAGGTGCTAACTCAGGAACGTATAAGTGACGTAATTGAATTGAATTGAAGTTCTTGTAAATAGTTTCCAATATGTCTTCATGGATAGACTCACTAGTGATAATCTGCAAGGGAAAATAGCTGACCCCTAAAAGTAGTACTGTATGTTACATAAACATCCAATCTCATTAAAATCAGACCTCAGTTCTCGCTACCGCTAAACAAAGATCTGAGGACATCCCATTAGGGGTCACGTCAGAACGACCTTTCAGAGCGTCACTTACCAGATTATGAAAGTGACAGTCGGAATGTGATTTCTGATCATGCAGCCCCGAAAGCTTTAACTCCGAATGATAGTTACGGGTTTAACGACTGTATCCATACAATCTAGACCATCTATTAGCCATTCCAGAATGTTCTTTGGTTCAGGTTTCAAATTTGTAATCGAGAATTTGTCAAAATATGTTTCTAAGCGTAGTCGCCAATTTGAAATTAGTGCCGTAAAGCACGAGAAAGCTGCCTTCTGATTGGTCATTCCATTGGTCGGTCAAAGTTCGCGCAAGGTCGGTCTGACGTGACCCGTAATGGGATGTCCTCAGATCTTTGTTTAGCGGTTGCAAGAACAAAGATCTGATTTTAATGATATTGATAAACGTCGTGACCACAAGGACTACAATGATGTTTAATTTTGTCTGCTGGATTGGTCTGTGTGTGAAATTCAAGGGGCAGAACCCAGGCATCCATGTGGCCACCCACCTCCTTCGTGTTGGCCTGTATCTGCAGGTGTTCCTGCAGCTCTGTCAGGGTCTTCTCGATCTGTGCGCTCCGCCCTTTTTCTGCGGCCAGACCCTGCTCAAGCTTCTCAACAGACTCCTCAGCCACCCGACGGGACTTCTCCGATGCTTGTAACCTGGTGACGGATGGATCCAACATTTATTGTGTATTTTGGATGTATCATCATGTATCTGCCTCAGTTATCATAGCTACTTGGAGTGAGTGAATGTTATTTTGTGCCAGTCAGCTAGATGATTGTTAGGATGGACATGGTCTGGGTAGAATGATGCATCATGTGAGAGTGACACATTGTGACCACCAGTTTCTCCTTTTAGTTGTCTCTGGCAACAACATGAGGTGCTGGATCTCCATTATCCCCTATAGTTATTGAGTAGATGAGTGAATAAAGTTTTATAATATTCCAGTAATATCACAGCAGGGAGGCACAAGAATTAGCTACACACAATGTACCCATGTGGAATCAAACCAAGGTATTCAGTGTGACAAGCCAACGCATTAACTGCAAGACTACCTCACTGCTCCATAAAACAGGACAGACTCAAACACAAGACATAAGGTCAAACCTTACCACACAAAACAGATGTGAACACTCCATACTCCATTACACAGCAAACAGATCCACACTGTGTCATATCAGCAGCTGTGCATATCACCCACTCCATATACTCAGCATATTCAACATATACCAGCATGTGGTTTTGCATATTCAAGTTTTGTTTGTTTGTTATTAAAATCACGCTCAGCAATATTCCAACTAGTGGCCTGTAGATAATCGAGCCTGGTCTTGACAATCAAGTGATTGATATTGTGAGCAACGATCCGTGTTGTCAGAGTAATGTTGATACGCTATCAACATTGTCACCGAGCGTGGTCACCCTATATAATAAGACTCCTTGTGGAACAAGCATAGATTGCTGAGGACCAATTGCAATCTGGAATCCCATAATTCAAGATTGGTTCCATCACAATTCAGCCATGACGCATACCTCTTCCTGAGTTCCTCCACTTGAGCTGGGTCAGCAGCTTGATGAGGAGCTGCTGTTGCTGCTGTTGCTGCTGTTGTTGATGTAACTGATGCTGCTGTAGTTGTCTGGGCAACTGCTGCTCTCTGCAAGGCCTCATTGACTGCCTTTTTCTCTAAGTCAGCCACCTAGAAACATGACAAGGAAGGTCAACATTAATGGTCTTACTACTAGTTACTGGAACAAGTTTTCAGTTAAGAATCAAGTCTTAAAGATGGTCAGGTCACACTTTTTTAATTTTAAGTTTCGTGGATTTATTCTAGCTGTTCCACAGGAGTTTGGTTGAAATAAAATTAAAATAAATCTCAATTATTTATTTATTCATATGAAAGTCATTCTGTCATGGAGTTAAAACTGCAGGTGGCCTCTTGAATCCCATTGTACCCATGTGGGGAATCGAACCTGGGTCTTTGGCATGACGAGTGAACGCTTTAACCTCTAGGCGACCCCACTGCCCCGGGCCACTCAATGGCTACCTTTGAAAGGTTTATTATTTCATGTGCTGCACGACCCCAACAAGAGGGTCATCATGTTATTATAATCAACCCAAAACTTCTAAACACCACCATGATAAATAAATTGTTTTGTATGAACATCACAGTGAGGCTCTCAAACTGACTTCTTGATCAGCTTGGGTGTTGGCTTCAGTCACATAACCCCAGGATACATCTAACTTTACTCGATTAATGGTCTGTTTCACAAGTGTCATTAAGAGTGAGTGAGTGAGTGAGTATGGTTTTACGCCGCTTTTAGCAATATTCAAGCAATATCATGGCGGGGGACACCAGAAATGGGCTTCACACATTGTACCCATGTCGGGAATCGAACCTGGGTCCTCGGCATGACGAGCGAACGCTTTAACCACTAGGCTACCCGACCGCCCCAGTGTCATTAAGAGAGGAATGCTAGTGTGACTTACATATATACTACTCCACTCTTATTAGGGATATTCTTTCTTTCAATGATTCTCACAATATGTCAAAGTGCATACTTCAACAGAATGACATGTCTGGTTATCCCTATCGAAAGTTGAGTAGTCTATTTAGGTCACATGACCTGTCAGATCTTCCAGCCTTGCGATGGGTTAATAGACTTGCACAAGTCTCTAAAGCACTTACTATTAGTTCAAATCATAACTTCTTGATTATATAAATAATAAGAACAAACTGTCCCTAACAGAGACTGGTGTCCACATATCTAGACTTGCCTATTATAAGTGTAGAATTACTTTAGACCCATGGATTTATCACTCAGTACAGCCATGGAGCAAGGCTAAAGGGTTGATGATGATGGTTACCTTTGTCTGCGTGTTGATGTGAGTCTGGTAGAGAGAGCGGTACTGCTGCTGCATGGCCAGCCACTCCTGCTCCTTCTCCCGCAGGGACTTGGACAGCTGCCCCAGCTGTGTGTTCAGGTACCCCCGGTCCTCCGCCAGCTGGCTCACCTGGGGACAAAACAACCGTCAGTGTCGCCAGTTGCTGCACATAGGTAGGGAGTCTTTGTTTGTTTGTTAACGCCGCACTCAGCAATATTCCAGCTATACGACAGCCCTCGGTAAATAATCAAGTCTGGAACAGACAATCCAGTGATTGACATCATGAGCATCGATCCATGCAATCGGGATACGATGACATGCATCAACCAAGTCAGAGAGCCTGACCACCCGATCCCGTTAGTCGCCTCTTACGACATGCATAGTCGCCTTTTACGGCAAGTATGGGTTGCTGAGTTAGCAAAGAGTTAGCCTAGAGTTAGCCTAGAGTTGGCCTAGAGTTAGCCTACCTGCATGGCCAACTGCTGGCACCGGGACTCCCTCTGCTGCAGGCTGTGCAGGGCCTGGTTGAGGTCCACTTGCACCTGGTTCTTCTGCTCGATGGCCTGGGAGAACTGCTGCTGAAGCTTCTCATACTCCACCTGGAACTTGCTCAGTTGGTTGCCCCCGGCCGTTGCCACCTCCAACTGAGACCGAAGCGTGTTGATGTCAAACACTGCCTGCTGAAGGCTGCTCTTTGTCTCATCAAGGTCCTGCTTGAGTTTATTGTTTTCATCAGACTGTACGAATGACTGATCTTCTAGCTCGTCGACCCTCCTCTGGAATGTTTCCTTTTCTCTTGTAAGATGTTCCCTCTGTTCCACGTTGAAGCTGATTTCCTGCTTCATGCTGCCCATTTCCCGTATTTTATCATGAAGTTCTTCAATCTGCTTCGCCATATCGCTGTTGTCTCCTAACACAGCATTGTATTGTTCACTGAGTGAGGAGAAGTCAGATTCAACTGAGGCCATTGTACTGAGTCTGTTGTTCATGTCTCCAATTTGCCTCTTCAGGGAAACATTTTCTGTCTGAGCAACATTTAATTCATCCGAAATTTCCTTCACATCCTGCTCAATGTGCATCAGGGCTTGAATCTTTCGATTCTGCTGATTAATTTCTTCCTTCAGACTCTTACTGTCTCTGTCCATATCTTCAAGATCTGTCTGGGACATCCTAAGTTCCGACTCCAGTGATTCCATCTCTTGGAGTTTCAGAGACAATGAATTGACCTCAGACTGTATCATCTCCTTGTCCACAGACAATCGCTCACATTCATCCTGTGAAGCCTTCAATTCATCCTGTGAAGCCTTCAACTCATCCTGTGAAGTCTTCAACTCATATTGTATCCTTGAAAATTGTTTCTGTGATTCAGTCAGTTCATCTCTGGTCAACTGAAGATCCTCCTCGAACGCTGATGCCTCTTCCAGCTTCCAGTTCAACCCATCAATCTCATCCCTGAGGTTCTGATTCTCAGTTCTCAACTTAACAAGTTCCATGTTGTTCACCTCAAGCTCATTCTCAAGAGCACTGAGCTCCTGTATCTTCCAGTTCAGTGCATCCACTTCATCCTTGGAATCTTGTCTCTCTTTCTTGCTGGTTGTCATTTCGGCTCTCATATGCTCAATGTCCTCCACAACCTGATCCCGCTCAGCTTCAAGATCCACAACCTTCTTCTGCAGTTCTCCCAAGGAGTTCATTTGTCTGCTCATGTCCTCAACTCTCTGACTGAGGATCTGTTTTTCTCTCCTAGAATCCACAAACTCATCTCTCATACCCTCAACCTCCTCCTCAAGATGTTCCTTCTCTGATTCCAACTCGGCTACTTTCTTGTGCAGGGTCTTCAACTCCTCACTTTGGCCACTTGATGTCTTGACCTCCTCTTCCTTCCTACTCATCACAAACTTCACCTCCTCCACTTCCTTCCTCAGCGTCTTGTTGCCATCTTTTAAAGTCTCCACCAAGGCTTGGAACTCATTATTGTCTGCAAGTAACATGTCATAGTGTGACTGAAGATCCTGCAATTTATTTCTCAAGCTGAACAGTTCTTGTTCTTGAGAATCTGAGTCTGATACAGATCGCTGTCGTGTCTCAGTTTCTTTCATGAGTTCAGTTTGTAAGCTCTGGATGCTTTCCTTATACCTCACAGAGTTGTTTTTTTCAAAATCTTCTGCAACTGATAGATCAACTTTTAGACGATTCACCTCCTCTTGAAGCTGGGCCATGTTTAAACTGGATTCTTCTTGTACATGTGCTAATGTAGTCTGCACTTTTGTCAATTCATCTTGCAAATAAACAACCCTTTGAGATTGTGAGTCATTTGATTGTTGAAGTTGAGAAAGACTTGTTTCATAATGTTGCCTCATGTCCTCCTCCTTCCCTTGACATGCTTGTAGCTCAGTCCTAAGACTGTCAATCTCCATATTCACTGTCTCAAGTTTGTTGGAATCATCTTCTGTGGAGGAGAGATTTTGCAGTGAGGCAAGTTCTTCTTGAAGCTTAGCAACTTTCTGAGCCTCCTCATCCCTTGCCCTTACAACCTCACCAAACTGAAGTTCATACTGTTCTTTAATAGCATCCTGCTTTTCAGAACTCTGCTGTTGCTCAGAGTCAAGTTCAGATTTTAGCCTCTCTTTTTCTGACTGAAGTTCGATGAGAGAACTTTGCATAGATGAGTTGTCATGATACATTCTCCTGTTGTCATTTTCCATATCGATTAGTTTGTCCTGAAGATGCTGCATCTGGTCCCGAAGATGTTTCCTCTCCTCAGCAAATCTATTTTCCTGGTCTCTCAAACTACCATCTTGGCTGGCCAGCTCACTTTGCAATTTATCCATGTCTTTTTGCAGTTCTTCATTCTTGATTTTGAATGCTTTTAACTTCACTAGCATTTTCTCACATTTCACTTCAGCTACCTGTAATCTGTTCTTCATCTTCTCATGTTCAGTTTGAAGTATCTTATATTTTTCCTCTGCCTCAGTGGAGGCTCTGTTCAACTGCTCCTGATCAGGAGCTGATGTTTGTCTCAGTGTCTCTTGTTGCAACATTGGAGCTTCAACACAGGTCACCCTCTCTGCCACTTCCACAACATCAGAAACAGACTTGACCGGAATATGTTCTAGTTGATGTTTCAGACTTTCTTTTTCTGAAATTAGCTCCTGCACCTGCTGATAAAGTGTCTTATTTTCACTAAACATCTGATCACATTCTACTTTCAGTTTGTTATATTCATTTCTGGTCTCTGATTCCCCAAATTGAGCTTCAGCAATACTTCTCTCAAATCCTTCACACTCCCCTTGAAGAGATTCAACCTCTATCAGCAGCTCTTCCTTCTCCTGAGTGACCTCAGTCAGTCTGGCATGCAGTGAGTCATGGGCATTCTGTAGGTCATTGATGGTGGACTGCTTCTCAGAAATGAGCTGATGGATCTTCTCCGAAAGCTGGACTTGTGAGTCAAATTCAGCTTTTAAATTGTCTCTATCAGTTTCAATGGCTTGTTTTTCAGAAAGTGCATTGTCAAGTTGGAGTTTGAGGCTCTCTGCGCTTAAACTTTCATCAGTTACTTCCCTTGCTTCTATCAGCTTCTGATTCTCTTCTCTAAGAACTGCTATCCGAGTACTCAGTTCCTTGATCTGGTCTTCATACCCTTCCAATTCCTTAGGCACACTTTCAGTGGAAGTTTCTCTTGATGAGCTGAGATTCTCAGCTACCTGCTTTTGCTCAAGCAATTGGGTCTCTAATGAGGAAACAGAAGTGTGTAAGAGACCTGCTGCCTCAACCAAATGACTATTTTCTTCTTTCACTCGTTCAAGTTCATTCTCTTTTTCTTCAAGAAGTCTCTGACAATCACTTAATGACATCTTGGATTCACTTGAATCTAATTCCGGATCCGCTGATATGACCTGTGTTTTGAGACTCTCCACATGTTCATAGCTTTCAGCCAACTGTGATGTTAACTTAGCTACATTCTCTTCCTCAGATTTCAGTAATTCTGTCAGTTTCAAATTCTCCTCCTGTAAGACAACTCCCTGTTGGTTATAGGTGTCCACCTGGGCCTTGTATTCCTCCACTTGAGATCGAACAGCTTCAAGTTCTGTCTGCAGCTGCCGTTGTTGAAGCTCCTGGTTCTCATCTCCCTTGCTCTCCTGTGTTGAGGCTACCAGCTGCTGCATTGCCTTCAGATCGGCCTGCAGCTGCTGCAGTTCATCCTCTTTGCTGGAAATGTCCTGTTGAGATGTGTCCAGAGTTTCCACATACCTTTCAAGGGCTTCCTCTCTAACTTTCAGAGCTTCTTGAAGATTCTTAACAGACTCACTGACTGAGGCCAATTCAGCTTTCAGGGCATCTTTTTCCTCATTTATCTTCTGATGTGAATCCTGTAGTATTTCGACAATATGGGACAACTCGGTCACCTTTATTTCTTTCTCTTCGAGAATGAGTCTATCTTTTAAGAATCCCTCTTTTTCAATCATTAGCTTCATTATTACATCTTCCTTCTCAGATACAGTCTGTTTGTGGAAGTCAACAGCTCCTTCAAGTTCCTTCATGGTCTCACCCATTCTGTGCACCTCAATGTCCTTCTCTTGCACAGAACCATTACTTTCTTCCTGCAGTCTGTTCAGCTCTTCTTGAAGCTTCTCATAAGCAGCCTTCAGTTCCTGCGACTCAGATGCCATATTATTCCTTGACCCTTCCAGTTCATCCATCTCGCCTTGCTTTTGCTTCAGCTGCTGTTCTAAATGGTGGGTGCTTTCTGTGAGAGTCTGAACTTGCTGCTGAAGCTGCTGAGTGTACTCTGTGTAAGTCTGCACCTGGTTCTGAAGTTCTTGCATCTGTTCATCATGTTTAGCATCAGATTCTTCTTTTGCTCTCTGTACCTCAGACTTGACAACTTCTTCCTCTGCCATTGCTTTTGCCTTCTTCTGTTCTTCCACCTGAGATTTTGTTTCTTCCAGTTTTGTATTTGCTTGATTCAGCTGGAATTTAAGTTTCTTAGCAGTGGCCAGGGCTTTCTTGAGGGTCAGTTCCCTGTCATCATAAGCCTTCTTTTTCTGTTCAAGCTCTGTTTTAACACTCTCCATCTCTGCTGTGAGTGCAGCAGACTGTTCCTCGCCACTTGACAGCTGTGTCACCCTGTCCTCCATCTCCTGCAGATTCTCCAAAAGTGATGCCAACTTTTGATCTTTCTGGCCAATCTTCTCAGTGATTTCTTTCACAATGTTTTGAGACTTTTCCAAACTGGCCTGGAGATTCACAATCTCATCTGCTTTGACTTGCAACTGTTGATTCACCTGCTGGAGGGCTTCAGTCATGTGCTGCTCCTTGTCTGAGGATGAACTAGACAGCTGTTCAACAGTGGCATTGGAAGTCTCAAGCTGAGAATGCAGACTTTCTACCTTAGCTTTCCAGGCAGCATTGTCTCCATTTAGCAACTCCACTTCTGACACCAAACTAGCAACCTGGCCTTCCAACTCACTTCCTTTTGCTTCCATTGCCTCAGTTCTCTCTGCCACCGCCTTCTCTCTCTCCAAGGAACTACTCTGAAGCTGCTCCACAGCTGTGTTTGCCATCTCTAATTGTGACTGCAGGTTTTCAACCCTTTCCTTCCACGCAGAATTATCCCCTTTGACATTATCCACCTCCGACTCCAAACTGGAAACCTGGGATGCTAACTCATTCGCCTTTGTCTCCATGCTCTGAGCTCTTTCTATGATCTCCTTCTCTTTGTCGGAGGAACTGCTCTGAAGATGCTCCACAGTTGTGCTTGCAGCCTCCAGCTGTGCCTGTAGACTCTCGACCTTTGTCTGCCAAGCACGGCAGTCATCTTCTTTCTGCTCTATTTGGGTCTGTAGACTCTGCACCTGGGTCTGCCAGGCGCGACAGTCAGCTTCTTGCTGCTGCAGTTGGGTCCCCAGGTCAGCCATCCGTGAGCCCTGGCTGGTAGATTGGGATTCAAGTTCTGAGATTCTGGTCTGCAGTTGCCCCTTCTGCTCCTCAGCATCATCTAGCTGGGCCTGCAGTGTCGTGGCTGCCTCTGCATACGTCTGCAGCTGTTGGTTCAGTTCTGACAAAGATTGGTTAACTGTGGCCAGCTGAAGAGAAGAATACCAAAACAATTAAAGATAACATTCTTTCATCCAATTCTTTTTTTCTTTTACATTGTAACACGTGAATGAGACATGGTCAGCAAGCAATATCATGGCGGACAGTAAGTAATGGAGTCTGGACCAGGCAAACCAGTGATTGATAGCACAAGCAACAATCTACAAAATCAGCATATGAAAATCACCAGCCAGTCTGATCAACAATGCCAAGTTGCTTTTTCTCTTTATGCATCATGATAATTAAATTGATACAATGATAACATCCTTATAAGATATGGTGTCTTTAGACCCATAATAATGTATAAACAGAAAATAAATAATAGGTCCAATGCAAAGTAACACCAAAAATACTTTCTAGCACATATCATCATGAACAATTGTCAAAACAATATTTGAAACAAGCCTGACCAAAATTGACCTTTTGGATCAACAGCAAACATACATAACTGTGGTAAAATATAACATGGTTAAACAAAGAAAGAACATTCACCTAGGGAAAGGCCTGCCTAACTATAGATCTTAGTACTGTCTTAATTCTACTTTGACATTATTTGTCTGTTTGTTCTTTGTTGTTTTAACACTGTACTCAGCAATATTCAAGCTATAATACTGTTAATAATCGAGCCTGGACCAGACATTCCTGTGATTGACATCATGAGCATCGATCTATACAATTGGGATACCATGACACGCATCAACCAAGTCAGTGAGACTGACCACCAGATCCTGTTAGTCGCCTCTTACGACAAGCACAGTCGCCTTTTACAGAAAGCATGGGTTGCTGAAGACCTATTCTAGTATTTCTACTCCAGATCTTCATGGGTACTTTGGCATTAAGATTCTACCATTTGTTTTAATTATCCTCAGTTGAGATGCCTGTTTATTTATTGAATACATCCATCCCAGCAACACTAAGACTCCAAGGAGCATTACCTTTAGCTTAATTAAAAGTGTTGGCTGGTGATAGAGACACAATTTTTATTATCTGTGAAGCCAACAACACTGGGGGCATCCACAGCACATTTGTTATACGTACTTTTGAACCCAAATTGTGTGACTGGCAGGTGCTACCTGTAGGTCAGGACATGCTTACACTAATTGTGTGACTGGCAGGTGCTACCTGTAGGTCAGGACATGCTTACACTAATTGTGAGTGAGTGAGTATGGTTTTACGCCGCTTTTAGCAATATTCCAGCAATATCATGGTGGGGGGACACCAGAAATGGGCTTCACACATTGTACCCATCTCGGGAATCGAACCCGAATCTTTGGCGTGACGAGCGAATGCTTTAACCACTAGGCTACCCGACCGCCCCTACCCTAATTGTGAGCGAACACCTGATTTTCTGTGATACGTTCACATGATTTTCACGCCTATTCTGCCTTTTCATGCCCAATGTTATTCTCTGGCGTGTATCTTTTATATTTTCAGAACATCAAGTGATCGATCTTGTTGTTGTAAAACCTGAGGTACAATATATTTTTGGGGTATTTTCTGTAACAGATTAATGGAACCATCCCAGTCTCTTTCCCAAGAGTATCCAATGGGGGACGCCTTATAATTTAGACTTCCAAACAAATCAATTAGTATTGATACCAGTTTTACCAACTATTCATATACCTATTGATATATCACACACTTCCTGTAACTCTTGAGCACCAATGCTCATAATCAATAATAACTGATTATGAATAAATCTCATATCAGCCCTCAAAATATTCTCTCCTGGCCTTGAAAATGTTAAACATAGTGAACTGTCTTGATGCCGGGCGTTGGTGTGATGTACCAGTGGCCTTTATAATGTAGCCATCACCTCGGACTTCATTAAAATTGTCTTCGTAAGATCTCTTTGCACTTGTTAGCAAATAACATCTTTGATCCCAAACTACCTTTGCAAACACTTTTAATACTGAGTTTTTTAATTTCGCACCAATTGTATAAGCATTCTTTGGACAGATTCATGTAATAAATGTTAATATGGTTCTATGTCACTTTTTAACGATATTCCAGCAATACCACACAGGTACCCATGTGGAGAACTGAACCTGGACTATCAGTGTAACAGGCTGACACTTTACCTACTAGGTGACCCCACCGCACCATACCACACAGGTACCCATGTGGAGAACTGAACCTGGACTATCAGTGTAACAGGCTGACACTTTACCTACTAGGTGACCCCACCGCACCATACCACACAGGTACCCATGTGGAGAACTGAACCTGGACTATCAGTGTAACAGGCTGACACTTTACCTACTAGGTGACCCCACCGCACCATACCACACAGGTACCCATGTGGGGAACTGAACCTGGACTATCAGTGTAACAGGCTGACACTTTACCTACTAGGTGACCCCACCGCACCATACCACACAGGTACCCATGTGGGGAACTGAACCTGGACTATCAGTGTAACAGGCTGACACTTTACCTACTAGGTGACCCCACCGCTCCATACCACACAGGTACCCATGTGGGGAACTGAACCTGGACTATCAGTGTAACAGGCTGACACTTTACCTACTAGGTGACCCCACCGCTCCATTAAGACATGAACAGCAACACAGACTCAGGCCTGTCCGAGACACAAATCAGATTACAAGAATGTAACCGCATCTGAAGAACCTTGTTCTGTTCAACACAAGTTTTTACAGTGGTAGCAAATCCCTCCCTGATATCTCTTGTATATATTCCATGAATATGCAACAGCTGCTGTATTCAGTCCTTCCATTCCCTCAGATATCTTGCCAACAATCTGATGAAACTTACCGTATTCGACGTAATAAGCGCCCCGCTCTAATAAGCATGATAAGCGCACACGGTGACATTTGCTAATATATTGGCTGGTGAACAATCCCAATTAGCACCCCTTCCGATTGATCAATGTACACAAGACTAATTTATTCGCGTATAATACACACTCGTGTGCTATATGCACCCTTAAATATGGGCAATAAAATTCTGGAAAAATATATCTGTCGTACATAAATATTACAGGCTGTCAGCATAACCATGAAATTTATCTTTCAACTCTGTTTTTTTTTCACCAAAATAATATTCTAATCAGAGCCCCCTATTTCTAATTTTGAGAGCGCCCTGGGCGCTTATTACGTCGAATACGGTGTGCAGCTAAACCTTGAAATAATATTCCATCAATATCCTTTGCCTGTTATATACTACTCAAATGAAGTTAAGGATCACATAATTCTTTCATATTATGACAGTTAATCTGTCATGGCATGACACATAGAAATATAAAAGAATCGGGGAATCCTTAGCTTCTTTTGAGTGGTATGTTCAATCAGCAGAGTTTTACAGCTCCTCATACAGATACATAATTAAATAGAACCCTCACAAGACAATCTCCACTTCATCATTGATATCTAGAACCCTCACAAGACAATCTTATCTTCATCATCAATATCTAGAACCCTCACAAGACAATCTTAACTTCATCATCAATATCTAGAACCCTCACAAGACAATCTTGACTTCATCATCGATATCTAGAACCCTCACAAGACAATCTTGACTTCACCATCGATATCTAGAACCCTCACAAGACAATCTTATCTTCATCATCGATATCTAGAACCCTCACAAGACAATCTATCTTCATCATTGATATCTAGAAAACTCACAAGACAATCTTATCTTCATCATTAATGGCTTGTCATGAAATAGACATACCTACTGCCATATCAATATACACTGTCACATTGATTAATGATATAATCCACATGCCCTCACCTTTTGAATAGACACAGATAACAGCTAAGGGCATTATTAACTAAGAATCAATAGAGCATCCCTTTCTCAACCTATCCCTTAGATTATCGATTTGTTGATTGAAGCGAACACATAAATTGTACAACTATTTCACTGAAACATAGCCTCCATGCAATATATCCTTCTCACAGTGAAATAGCCTCCCATGCAAGACAATCTTGACTTCATCATTGATAGCTAGAACCCTATCTATACAACATACAACACACACACCACTGATCCTCCCTCTATACAATATACAATATTGCCATACACACCACTGATAATCCCACTATACAATATTGCCATACACACCACTGATAATCCCACTATACAATATTGCCATACACACCACTGATCCTCCCACTATACAACATACAAAATAACACACACACCACTAATCCTCCCTCTATACAACATACAATATTGCCATACACACCACTGATCCTCCCACTATACAACATACAAAATAACACACACACCACTAATCCTCCCTCTATACAATATATAAAATAACACACACACCACTGATCCTCCCACTATACAATATACAAAACAACATACACACCACTAATCCTCCCACTATACAATATACAAAACAACATACACACCACTGATCCTCCCTCTATACAACATACAAAACAACATACACACCACTGATCCTCCCTCTATACAACATACAAAATAACATACACACCACTAATCCTCCCACTATACAATATATAAAATAACATACACACCACTGATCCTCCCTCTATACAATATACAAAATAACACACACACCACTAATCCTCCCACTATACAATATACAAAATAACATATACACCACTGATCCTCCCTCTATACAATATACAAAATAACATACACACCACTGATCCTCCCTCTATACAACATACAAAATAACACACACATCACTGATCCTCCCTCTATACAACATACAAAATAACATACACACCACTAATCCCCCCACTATACAATATATAAAATAACACACACACCACTGATCCTCCCTCTATACAATATACAAAATAACATACACACCACTAATCCTCCCACTATACAATATATAAAATAACACACACACCACTGATCCTCCCTCTATACAATATACAAAATAACATACACACCACTAATCCTCCCACTATACAAAATACAAATTGACATACACACCACCGATCCTCCCTCTATACAACATACAAAATAACACACACACCACTGATCCTCCCTCTATACAACATACAAAATAACATACACACCACTAATCCCCCCACTATACAATATACAAAATAACATACACACTACTAATCCTCCCACTATACAATATACAAAATAACACACACCACTGATCCTCCCTCTATACAACATACAAAATAACACACACCCTTTCTTCATACTATACATATACATCATAAAACATACACATCACTAATTCCCTCATCCAGTTCCAAAGCCATACTAACCATACATTGTCTATGGTATCAAGGAAGCAGTGCCCAACATTGATCAATGTAGAAATGTGGCAGTCAGAGGACATCCACAGTCTGTAACATGTCTACAAACCACCACACGAGACTACGCAAAGCTGTCCTGAATTCACACCACATTACATCTGTATCCAGCGGCCAATCTGTTCAACTGTTGTATTGATTTCTGTACCAGGTGTTGCGTATTGTATATATAAACTGACAGCTCTGAATACCTAGTCCCCAATCCACTTGACATGGAAATTGTAACCATTCATTTCAGTATTACCTATTCATTCACGTAAGAAGTACAAATCATTCCTGGCATTTAATTTGGAAAACTAATCACTTTTAATGGTTCAATGCATTTCATTTAACCAGACTGAATTAAGTGTTAGTCTCTGTCCATGGAATTCAGCGAAGTTAATTTTTCATTTGAGTCTGGGTAGGGTGTTTAATATTTGACAAAATATCTGACTGTTGTTGGTACATCAAAAGTGATTTATTTATTTTTTTGTTTTGTAGTACCTATTTAAAATTACATACATAATAAAAGCACTTTAAATCATCAAAAACAAATATCAAAATGACCTCTATCATTAAATGAATGCAAAATAATTATAATTAATAAAAAGGTTTAACAGCTCAAGCCTAAATGTTTGTTTGTTGTTTAACGCCACACTCAGCAGTATTCCAGCTATATGCTGGCAGCCTTTAAGACAATCCAGTGATTAATATTACACGCTAGGAGTAACAACCAACTTAGCACTAAGATATCTTTGTCGAACAAGTTCCTGGAATCCTCACAACACTCAAGATATTAACATTATCACTAACTTGAACAATGAAGTGCACAAATGTAATTTCTCAGAAAAAGGAGTTTGTTTACTATTGATGACATAACAGGAATAAACAAGCATGCTGTTAAACGGTCTCAGTTATAAAATCAATTTCCCCAAAAAACAAAATGAACCACAACCAACTATGTCAATATTGGAAAAAAATATAAGTTTCAAATACATGTATGAGTCAATAACTGAGAGCAAATATGAATATTATAGTTCTAGATTAAAGTTTGGCTATAAATATTAAATCATGCAATAAATATGCATTTATACTAAACGAACAAAGTTAGGGATCGTGAATATGTTTGGAGATATTTTTATGAAATTGTGTGTTGAGTTTACAATACAAAATAATAACCCGAAAAATATTCATGACCCCTAACCTTTTTCTTCAGTATATACATATACATATATACATATATATAGGCAAGATACATATCTATATTTCCTACTGTGAAAAAATGTCATGCATTATGACCAAACCATGATTCAGTCTATCATATTCCCCTTCAAAATGACCAAGTATAAATTTGTAACAATATGCCAATATACTGGAATAATCATTATCATTATGTACCACTGTCTGACGAGAGGATTTTGTTGATCAAACTTCAACAAATCAAACCAACTGAGCATAAACTTAAGAGATTGATACTACTCGCTATGCTTGACTAAGCAAAGCACTCACACACACACTCACTCTTGAAAGGCAGGTGGCCGCTATGCTTCATCACTTCTATGTACGAAGGCAAAGCAGTAGGTATGAGCAGAGGTGATATACATGAATTGAATGATGAGAATACTGAATGCAGGTAACAGATGAGTATGCTGTTGTGTTACAGTGTGAATACATGGAGTGAATACAGTGAGTGTGAAGATGCAGTTAGAAAGGTGTTACAAAGCAAGCAGAGGAGCAGTGAGAGTGTTAGTCCCGAGCAGTACAACTGGTAGGTATCCTCCTTGTGGGATGCTTACATGTGTTTCCTTAAGCTTCAGTTCATCCTCAAGGCTACAAAGGGAAGTTGTTAGAGATGATGTCTTCTGCTGTTCCTTGGCAATGTGTTCATCCTTCTGGGCAAGACTCTGGACGTAAGCTTGTTCTTTATCTCTAAGCTCTTCCTCAAGGCTACTGAGGGAATGTTGCAGAGACGTTGTCATCTGCTGTTCCTTTGACAAGTCTTCTTGCTTCTGGGCAAGACCCTGGATGTATTCCTGATCCTTGAGTTTCAACTCATGCTGAAGCTGTGTGACAGTGGCCTGGAGGCTTGTAGTGGTATCCTGAATATGAGCTTCATCTTTCTGACCAAGATGAACACCTTCTTTCATCCCTTGCTGTTCTTGAAGGCCAGTGATGCATCTCTGCAAATCTAAGATGGTGTGTTGCCTTTCTCCTAAATCTGCATCTCTCTGGGTGAGGTTCTCATCTTTCAGCCGTATCTGCTCTTGGAGTTCTGACAGAGATGTCCGTAGCACAGCAATGGTGTGAGCTTCTTCCTCCAGTTTATCATCTTTCTGGATGATCGTCTGCGCCAGTTCCTCCACCTTCTGTTGTAAAGATGCGAGCATTCCTTCATCAGAATCTGATTTAGAAGTGACTGATGCATCAGATTGCCTTTGCTGTATCTCAAAGTCAAGGTTCCTGCGTGGTATGGTCTGTGACAGTTGTTGAGCTGTTTCCCTTGTAACAGCTTCAAACTTCTCATCCCTAAAGTAATCTATAGCCAAAGTGGTGTTGGATGAATCCCCTTGTTCAGAGAGTTCAGTGTGTCTTGATTCTAAAGAAGCCATTTTCCCATTCAAACTGTTCATTTCTAACTGCATTGTGTGAATGCATTCATCCTTCTGAGCACAAAGCTGTTGCAGGTAAGTGTTACTGTTAATGTATTCATATGTCTTGGAAATGAAAAGTGACACACACTCACTTACATTGTCCTCAGTCACAACTCTTTCAACATACACATAAGGGAATGCGGCAGACAGCTGATCTCGAATACTCAACAGGGCCTCTTTGAGCATTCTGTCTTGTGAACTGAGTGTTTCCACAGCAGTCTCCTGCTGCTGAAGGGCGTCCAGGAGTTGGGCTTTCTCCTCTTGTTCATGTTTGTTGTTCTCTAGCTCCTCTGTAATAGCAGAAATCTGAGCTTTCAGAGTTTCCACTAAAGACTCATGTTCCTTTACCAGTTCATCTTGCATTTGTTTCTCCTGCTTCAGCTGATTACCAAGAGCCTCACTGGCATTTAATTTCTCAGTCAAACTGTCCAGAGCAGTTTTTTGATCAACAAAGGCGACATCTTTTTCTTCAAAGGCATTTTCAAGGGACATGATCTTTTCCCGCTCTGCCTCCAGCATTTTGTTACTCTCAGTATGATTCTGTTGAAGATATTCATTTTCTTGCATAGACAGCTTCAATTGCTGATGCAGGTCATCAATTGTTTGTTCCATGACATTTGTTTCATTAGTCAGTTTAGTCACAGTTTCAACTAAACCACTGTTGATATGTCCATATTCAGACTCGATATCGGAACAAACTTTCTCTGCATTTATCCTCAGCATCTTCTCTTCTTGGTATTTAGTATCTGTCTCTCCAAGTTGTTTTTGTAACTGAGATAAAAGAGTGTCCTTCTCAGAACTACTGTAGCTCCTTAAGGCCAATTCTTTCTGGATATTTTCATAGGATGTTGTCAGAGAATCGAACTCGTCCCGAAGTGAGTCTTCCTTCATTCGGGCTTCCTGCAACTGCATTTCAAGGTCTTCCACAACATCCTTAAATGATTCCACTTGAAGTCTGGTCTTCTCCAGTTCCCGAGAGCATGTCTGATGGGCAGAATCAATGTCTGACACTTTCTGCAGAAGAGTCTCCTCATTTCTTTGACTGTTGTCAAGCTGCTGCTGTAGAACTCCAATTTGACTTGCCATTTCAACCTTTGCACCTTCCATTTGTTGTATTTGGTCAGTGGCACCATCAAGAGATTTCTGTACCTCTACAGCTTTCTTTTTGAGAACAACTAATTTGGCATCTTTCTTCTTCATTTGGCTCTGCATCTCTGTTATCTTGTTTCTCAGGGAATCAAATTCAGTCTCTAGATTTTCACCTTGATTAGAGTGGACTGTCTTTTCTTCAAGCTCATTGGCCTTCTCTTTAGTGCTTGAAACATCTATCAGTTGCTTCTCTAGATGTTCTTTCTCAGATTTCAGGCCATTTGCATACACTTCCCATTGCTGTGAGTACTCCTTCCACTGATCCCTCTCAGCGATAACACCAGATAGCTGATCTTCAAGACTAGAGATTTGCAGCTTGAGTGAGATAATTCTATCATCATCAGATCCTTTCCCTTGTTTAGACTCTTCTTCAACCTGTTCTGTTCTATGCAACTCATTCAACTGACTTTCAAGATCCTGTTTAACAGACATCAAATCTACGATCTTGGACTGTTTCTCTTGAAGCTGTAGTTTTAGTTCATTCAGTTCACTTGAGGAGTCTGTCAAGCTCTTGCTGCTGTGATTTTTCTCTGATTGGAGTGTAGAGATTTCTTCTTGCTGTCTATACCAGTCTGTTTCAAGTTCCTGTCTCCTTGTTGCTGCTTCATGGTAGCTTTGAGACCAAACTTCTATGTCAGACTGGAGTTGCATTACTTCTTGTGTTAGAGTCTGAATCTGTTGAAGTTTGTCATCTTCTGAAAGACTCTCCGAAGAAGATTTCAACTTCATTTGGTTCTGAAGAAGACTCTTTTCAGATAATGTTGTTGACAACTGATTTTCTGTTTGTTGAAGTTTATTCCATGTTTCTTGATGGCTTGAATTAGCATCTTGTAGTTTCACTGTGATGGTGTGGAGTTCTTGTGATGTGCTCGCCAACTTCACAGTCAGAGCATTAATGTTAATGTCTCTCTCCTCCAGCAGAGTCTGCAGAGATTTCATTTCCCTGTGCACATTCTCAAATTGTTGACACTTTCTTGCAATATCTTGTTTCATTTTTCTTATTTTTGAGATAACATTAGCACTCTCACCACTTAAATCTTCATAGGATGATAACTGCCCCATGTACTCTTCTTTCTCAAACTGCAAATCAATCAAGGTGTCTTTTTGATTTTCAAGTTCTGCCTCAAGTTGTTGTCTTCGGGCAGTTTCAGTATCAAGTTTCTGTACAAGCTTCTTCATCTCTTCTTCCAAATGAAGTGAAGTTGATGACCCATCTGTTTGGTCGACTGTCACAGAGGATCTGTTTGCAATTTCTGCTTTTAGCATTGCAATGTGATCTGTAGCTCTCTGTAGCTGCTGTGAAAGACTCTGAATGTGAGCATCTCTAGATATCACTTCTGAATGACCTGATACATTTGGCATGGCATTGTACAACTGATCTGCAAACCTTTGGTTTTCTTCATATAATGTCTCAGTTCTTTCTTCGGCTGCTGACAGTTTGCTATTGGCTATTCTGAGATTTTCATCAGCTTCTGCTACTTTCTTGCTCATGACTACAATTTTGGCATCCTTCTTCTTCATCTGTCTTTGCAGATCTTTCACCTTCTTTGCATCATCAGTAACCTCCACTTCCTTCTCAGGAGATGACACACGCGATTCCATCTTCTGCAGCTCATCAACTTGAACTGTCAACTTCTGATTTTCAAAGTGTAGAGTTTCCACTTTCTGTTGTGCATCTTTCAGTTGATGAGAGACTAATGTCACCTTCTCTGTTGCCTCTTTTACTTTCTTGCTGAGGGTTAGGATTCTTGCTTCTTTCTTTTTCAGAAGCTTCCTCATTTCCACCACTTCTTTCACAGGTTCATCTGCTCCTTCTCCTGCTTCAAACTCTGTGAAACTTTCATCAAGTCTACGAGAGTCCCCAAGCTGAGATTCAAGGTTCCTATTTTCAGCTGTCAGATTCTCAACCTTCATGTCCATGTCTTTCAGCCTCTGACTGAGGAGGGTCAACTGCTCTGTTGCTTCAGCTAACTTTTTATTAGCAACTGTCACTTTGGCTTCCTTTTTCTTGAGCAATTTTTGCAATTTAACAACATCCTTTTTAGCAAGTTCTTCAAGTTCTTTTTCCCTATCCAGATTAGTCTGAAGAGACCTAATAGCGGTGTCAAATTCTCTGTTCTCGTCCAACAAGTCTTGAACTTGGTATGAAAGATCCTTTTCCATGTATTCTTTGTCTTCCTGAAGGTAGTTGATCTGTCTGACAAGATCTTTGTTTTCAAAGTGAAGTCTTTCCACTGCTGGATCAAAGCCAAGACTTCGCTGTGAAGAGTAGCGAGAAACAGATGAAGTTTCCATACTGTCTGACACTTCGCTGAAACTGTCCAGATCTGACGACCATGATATATCCATTGCCATCTCTGTTGTCACAGACTCTGTGTCCCCCACCTGTGACTTCAAATTCTTCAGACGTTCACGGTAATACGCCCTCTGTTTCTTTGTAATACTGAGGTCTTCCTCTAGCTTCAGAACATGCTGCCTGACTTTTTCATATCTGACATCTCTTTCATACAGAACCCTATCATGTTCTTGGACTCTTGCCAAAAGTTTAGCATTTTCATCACAAGTAGATTTCAGCTGATGTCTCAAAATACCTGTCTGGGAATCTAAACTTTCAACATTCAAAAGTTCCTGGTATTTTCTAGAATAAGCTGTAACCTCTCCGACTTTCTGTTGGATTTCTAGCTTCAGAGTACCACACTGAGTTGAATACTTCTCGGATTTTTCTTTCAGATCAGCAATTTCTTTGACATTTTTAGCCATTTCTTTATCTTTCACTGCAATTTTTTCCTGATATTCGAACTCAGTGTCGTAGTGATGAGTCTGAAGCTTGATAATGTCCTGATCCTTCTCACTGCAAATATCCTTGAGAACACTAATCTCTATCTGCAAGGCATCCTTATCTTCCAGTGGACCAACCATTGTTTTCTCGATCTCTTGCAACTGCCTCTGCACAACTTCAAACCTACTACAGGTTTCCCTGAATTCCTTATCCTTGGTTTCAAGGCTGCCTTTGAGAATACTGATCTCTGAAGTAGCTCTTTCATGTACAACTTTAAGCTCATTGTGTTGACGCATCTCATTCTTTAAGGATCCTTCAAGTTCTTCCATATTTGTTTTGGCACTCTTGAGTTCATCTTCAAAACATTGACTAGTTTCTGTACTGGTTGTCTGTTGCTGTAACATCGATTCCATTTGTCCTTGCACCTCTTTCATCTTCATCTCTGCTTCAGAAAGGCTATGCTTCAAAGAACCAACTTCAGCCTCCCTGGCAGAAATCTCCTCCTGCAGTCTCCCTTCCATCTGTTCCAAAGCACCTCTCATGTTCACAATCTGTTCATCCTTTTCAGTAACACAAAGGTCTTTCTCACTCAACAACAAACTCAACTGATCAGCCTCTGCCTGTGTCTCTGCAAATTTCTTCTGAAGATCTTCCTTAAGTTGTGAATCATCTTCTGTGGTTGATGTTAAATGTTCAACCTTCTCAGAAAGGAGTCTGTCTTTTTCAACAAGTGATTCTTCGAGTTTGGCACAAGTTTGTTCTAATGTCATTTTGCTATTGCACATTTGGGAATGAACACTCTGAATGGAAACCAGTTCTGTGGACAAAGTGCCCAACTCCTCTGTCAAAACAGACAATTGCACATCCCTGTTATCACCAGCCTTTGACTTATCAGCTCCCATTTGCCCTAGATTTTCTTCCGTTATCAGTTGTTCACGCTCCAGTTTGATCTTTTCTTCACTCATATTAAGCTCAAGATTTCTTTGTTTTAATTCTGATATTTCAGATTCAGCAACCAACAGTCTATCAGTTAGCTTGATGATTTCCTCATTTGATGTTTGGCATTGATACAAAGTTTCACGCAGTTTGCCTTCAGTTTCTGCAATCTGGTCAGCTAGAGCTTTGTTCTGTGTAGCCACATTCACCTTCTCCTCTAAGACCTCTTTTTGTGACGTTTCAACTGTTTCCAGTTGCTCCTGAAGACATTTGTTCAATACTGAAAGACTTTCCCTCTCTTCCATGGACGCATCAAGACTTGCCTGCATGCTTTCAATATCTCGGTGTAAAGACTCCTTCACTTGCACAACCTGTCCAAGATCCTGATCTCTAATTGTGACCTTCTGTTGAAGATGAACCAGCTTGTTGTAGAGCTCCTTGATTTCCATGTCCAGTGAACCACACTCTTGTCTTGATTCCTGCAAAGTGTTCTCGGTTGTCTCCTGATCATCAGAGATCTCATCAAGCAGCTGCAGCGCCTTATGAAGCTCCTTCTCAACCTCCTCCCTTTCAGCCATGATGCTGCAGATGCCTAGTGATAGTTCATGAAGGAGTTGATCCTTCTGTTCAAAGAACATGTCCATAGTTCTTGACTGCTCACTGGGTGGAAGTATTGTATGGCAGAGAAGAGTTTTACACATTGCCTGGAGACTACTTAGAGTCTCACCAGACACCTTTTCAAACTCTGACAACTTTTGCTCCTGGAATAAAAGTTTTGATTGATCAAGCTCATGTTTGATTTCACTGTGCTTCTGTACATTAGTACTTATTTGTGTGGACAGGGACTGTGTGTGTAGGGCATAGTTCTCAAGGGCCGATGTTAATATTTGTATTTGTACAGATTGCTCTTCCAGGTCTTGTTCTTTGTCTGAACAAGGTTTAATCTTATCTTGCAACTCAGCTCTTAATGAACTCATCTGATCCCTTAGATCATCACATTCACACCTGCTTTCCCTAAACAGCTTATTCAGCACCTCCACCTCATAAACTTTAGCTTCCAACTCACTTCTATGCTTCTCATTAACCTCTGCAATTTCATATCTAAGTGTCTTCAACACTACATCCTTTTCTCTTACAATATTGGTATATGATTCTGTCTGACTATCTGCCAAAGCTTTCACCATCTGAAGATTTGTATCCTGTTCCCTAAGGATTCCCTCTTTCTCAAGGACTAACATGTGTACCTTATCAGTGAGAGCTTCTGTTATTTTCTCACTTCCTTGCAACTCAGTCTTAAACTCAGACACTTGGGCCAGTAAGTCATCTCTACCCTCCCTCAAATCAGTTACTTCTTTAGTCAGTTCAATGTGTTCTTCACTTAAGGTGGTTATGCTGTTTTCTAGCTCCCTATTCTGAAGGCAAATTTGGTCCTTGGAGTCCGAAATTTGCTCAAGATCACAAAGTAATTGCTGTTTTTGAGTTTCAAGACTGTTAAGATCTTCATTAAGTTTATCGTGCTCACTCACCACAGGCTCAAGCTCAGCAATCCTCTCATTCCTGTCCTGAACCAAACACTGTAGTTTGGCAACATGTTCTTGCAAGACCACATATTGATTATCTTTGTCAGATAGAAGCTCCTGTTGTTCACATAATTGCTCCTTCAGCGAAGCAACTGTTGTTTCTTGTTCTGAGAGAGCTTCTTGTAACTCTTTAACAATCTCTTTCTGAGCAATTAGAAGCGTTTCTCGCTCTTCAAGTAATGACTGTGTCTCCTTTGATTTGACATCATATTTACTCTTGTCATGATCCATGGTGGCAAGGGAATCACTCAAATCTGACAATTTACCCTCAAGGACAGAAATCTGTTCAGTTTTGACAGCAACAGTGTTTTCTGATGTTTTCAACCTAGATTCCAAATCTAATACTGATTGCTCTAGTACCTCAATAACCTTCTTAGTATTATCCATTTTCTGTTCCAAGTCCACAGTGGATTCCTTCCTGTCTCCTGCCTCAGTCTGTAGCTGATCAATTTTACTCTCCAGATGGAAAATACTATTTTCTTTCTCTAGAGCAACATCCTGTGACTTCTTGAAAGCTTGTTCCAGGGTCATGAGTTGGGTTGCATTCTGTTCCAACTGTTGAATGTTCTTTATGTTTTCCTCATCTTTCTTTGACAACATTTGTTTCACATCCTGTAAATCAGATACTTTGCAAGCAAGTTGACTTTTCGTCGAAGCCAAATCTGCTTCAAGTTTGGTATACAGGCATTCCTGTTCAACAAGTGTTTCCTGAAGAACTGTTTGACTTTCAAGCATAGAGGTGATCTGAACATCCCTATCCTTAACGTCAGTTTGCAACTTTATCAAAACTGAATCCAACTCAGATTTTTTGACAGTTTCAGCTTCCAAACACTGCAGAAGGTTTGCTTCCTTCTCAGATAATGTTCTCAATGTCTCCTCATGATTTTTTACTCTCTCTTTCTCCTTTGCCAATGCTTCTTCCAATTCCAACCTCACAGAAACAGATTCATTCAGAGTTTGACCAGTCTCCTGTGACACAATTTCAATTTGCATTTTTAGCTGCTGAATTTCTAAATCCCTCTCAACAAGATTTTGATTAACTAATTCCAAATCCCTAACCAGGATGTGATTTTTCTTGGACATCTTCTTACTGACAGCATCACAAGATGACCATTTGTCTGAAAGGTCTTCTAGTTCTTGAGTGAATATTGAAATCTGTGTATTTTTTTCATTCAGTTCCCTGAACAGTTCCTCCAATGCTGATCTCTTATCCAATAATTCCTGGGTAAGTGCTGTCAGGTCTTGTTCCATGTTTACCTTCAACATTTCTTTCTCTCTTCTGACATCTTCAAATTGAATTTGCAACTGCCCAAGCTCATCAGACATTCTTGAAGATTCAATTTGCTTTGCTTGCACCACTGTTTCCAGTTCATTTCTTTGATCAGTTAAAGTCTCAATACTTTCTGATGAAAATTTCCGTACATCATCAAGCTGTGATGTAAGTTGCTCCTCTTTTGTCACTAGTTCATGCATTTGCTGAGACAGTGATGATGTGTGTTCCTCTAGTTTCCTCTTTTCCTCAGAGACATTCTCCAAACTTTGGACTAACTGTCTGCTTTTATTACTCACTTCCTCAAACTTCCCAGACATAACATCTAACTCCTCTTGAAGTTTACAAATCCTTTCAGAACTCAAGTTGATCTGATCTCTGAGAGTCACAGCCTCGGTTTGTTCATTCTCCAACTTAGCCATAAACTCTGTTTTCTGCTCTTGAAGTGAAGCCACAAGCTCATCTCTAGACTTCACATCTGATACTAAAGAGTTCTTTTCTGCAGACAGTGTCCCTACACTTTCATGTAAATGTTCCACCTGTTGTGTAAGAAACTTGCTTCTTTTTCTGTCTTCGTCATGGCTGGATGACGCTGATCTCAAAACCTGCTGCACATCTTCCTTTTCTATCTTCACTTTATGCAAGGTTTGCTGAATAGTTTGCAAATCAACCACAAATGAGTCTCTCTCTTCAGTTACTTTGGATAAAGATGCTTTAATGCCTGATAAGGTATCCTCCCAATGACTCTTCTGTTGTTTCATTTCATGTCTCAGATTCTCGAGGTCTGTTTTTGCTTCTGCAAGGGAATTTGATACAGACAGAAGTTCTGTTCTGAGATTGTCTCTTTCAAAAGAAACTGTTTCCAAAGATGATTCAAGTTTCCTGGTATTGAAGCCTGCCACAACATAAGCTGAATTGAGGCTGAAAGTTGTCTGACTCACATCAGATAGTTCATTCTCTAGAATATGAACCTGTATGCATGAGTCTTGTAAAGCTGCCTCTTTACAATTCAAAGAAGATTCAAATGCATCTTTCTGCTGATTCAAGTCGGATGTAAGTTGGTCAATTGTACCCATGAGCTTTACACCCTCACTGTCCCTATCTTGCCTTGTACACTCAATCAGTTCTACATGGGCAACATGTTGTCTCTCTGCTTGTTCAACAGCCTGAGCCAATTTGTCCTGAGATTCTTCCAGGTTAGACAGCAGGGTATCCTTTTCAGATTCTAGGCTTTTCAGAATGCCTGACAAATGTTCAACTTCAGAGGACAATGATTCTGACATCTTACAACTTGCATTAAGTTCTTTACTCACACTCTGGGTTTCGTCCGTTTTATTCATCAAAGATGTACACGTGGATTGCAGGTCAGTCTCTAAATGAGATATCTTCTCCAAATGTTCTTCTTTTTCCTTAGCAAGTCTGTTAAGCTTTTCTTCAGTGTTATCATGCGCCTCCTTGAGTTCTGTTAATTTTCCATGAACTGTTTTCAATTCAATATCTTGATCGTGACACTTTGTCTGAAGATCACTAATTTCCTTCTCTCTAACATTCTTTTCTTCTTCAGATTTTAGACACATATCTTGAGAATCTGTGAGCAGCAGTTGTGTAGTCTGTAGTTTATCTTCCAATTCAGATTTTAAGGTTTTCAAGTCTGATTCCATCTTGGTCAATTCTTGGGTCAATGTCTCATTTTGCTGCTTGATAACAACAGATTCTTCAGAAAGACTGTGTATGTTCGAAGATAAGGACTTCACCAATCCTGATTTCTCCTCCAAAGAGACTGCGAGGGAAGAGTTTTCACTACTCATTGTTTCAATAGTAGCTTGACAGTTACTCAACTCAGATGTTAGGCTTAAGAAGTCCTTGTTTAAAGCTGTCAGATGTTCATCCATTTTCTTTAAAGAATCATCCTTTTCAGAACACACTTTGTGAGCCACAGTTTTCTCCCTCAAAAGTTTGGACAATTCAGCATCAGATGAGTGCATATATGTAAACATTTCCTCTGCCTCTGTAGAAAGAATGTTAATTTGGACATCCTTGTCACTATTCTGGGATTCAAAATTACTAATGGTATCATTTGCCATCTGGATTTCATTCTTCTTTTCTTCCAGTAGTTTACTGCTTTCTTCATGTACAGATGATTTTTCCTTTTGTAATGTCTGGAAATTATGTTCCATATCTGCAATAGTTGCATCAGCAATTTGGAGTTTCTCTGCAAAGTCAGCTTTCTCTTTCGTGACATCTCTCAAGGATTCACTTAAATGTCCATTCTCTTCCTGGTTCTCGTGTAAGTCTGACTTTGCCTTTTCTAACTCAACTGATATTGAATCAATCTGATCCTGAGAGCCCTGTAGCATCTTCTTCAGCTCATTTAGTAAGACATCTTTTTCTTCCATGGTCTCCATCAATTGAGACATTCTTCTTTCCATACCAGTCATTTCTTCTCTCACCTGCTTCACTAGCTCTTCAAGGTGCTGTTTCTCAGACTCCATTTGCCTTGCTTCCAATTTGGTTAGGTCAGTGGTTTCATTGGCCTTTTCAAGAGAACTTTTTGTGTCTCTCACATTTTCTCTCAGCTCTTCAAGGCTGTATTTCAGCTTCTGATTCTCAGCTGATACCTCTGCAGCATTTGCCAAAGCTCCCTTCCAGTCCAGTTCAAGTTGTGAAATGAGTGCATCCTTCTCTTCGATTGAACTCCTAAGGGATGAACAAAGGTTTTCCATGTTTCTGTGCCTTCCACTCAGCTTTTGGAAAGATGCTTTCTGACTAGCACTGGACACTGCCAACTCAGACAACTGATCTAAGGTCATCTGCAACTGCGATTCCGTCAGTTGAACTGCATCTGATTTTTCCTTAAGCTCTACTGACAAGTCTTCAATCTGTTTCTTTGTTATTTCCACCTCAGTATTAAGGACATGTTCAGATTTCTCTTTGTCATCATTTACTCGTTGCAGCTTCAGATCACATTCCACTAAAGTTCTCTTTGAATTCTCTTCTTCCACACTCAGTCTGTTGCTCATCTCATTGACCTCTGCTGTTCTTGCTGAAAGTTCATCTTGCAATTGTGCAACAACAGACTCCCTCTGTTTCTGTTCAGATTGAAGTTGTACCCTGAGTTCAGATATCTCCTCCTCTTTCTGATCAACAAGTGCATACATGTCTTTAAAATTTGACTGAAGACCTCTCTCAGACTCTTCATATTGTTGTATCTTTGTGTTCAGTGCACTGCAGGATTTCTCCAGGTTATGTGTTTCATTCTTCAAAGAGTCCACCTCTGAAGTGAGATCATCCACTGCCCCAGTTTTCTCCTCCAGATCCTTCCTGAGTTCAACAATGGTCATGTTAAGCTTCTCCTTCTCCTGGGTGAATTCTGTCATGGCCAACAGAGACTCTGATGATAGTGTTGATATCTGTGTCTTTCTTTCTTCAGCTTCGGTCATTGAAACATTCACATGTTCCTTGAGTTGTTCAATCTGTTGTCTCCCCACCTCTACCTGATGGCTTAAATTATCTATTTGTTGTTCATTTTCATTTTGTTTTGATGACAGTCTTGACACTTCCTCTATCAAGTCCTGCTTTGCCATCAATAAACTTTCCTTCTCTGTTTCAAGATAAGCCACTTTGTCTTCAGCTTCAGATTTTGCAACAGTGACCTGGGAATGTTCCTCCATGAGTGAAGACATCTTTGAATGAGTTTCATCAAATCTCTGCTTTAGATTGCTCAGTTCATTCTTGAATTCTCCCTTTTGAACATTGACAGATTCCATCTCATCCATAGACTGACTTAAATTCTGCATTATCTGCTGTTTCTCCTCTTTAACAGTTTCAAAATGAGTCTCTAGTTCAGCCAAAGTTCTTTGCAATTCTTCAAGTTGTTTAAGTAGATTTACCTTCTCAAGTTCCATTTGTCCAACAGTATCATTCAAAGCTGTTACTTCTTTAGTCAGATCCATTATCTTGCATGTATTTACATCTAACGTACCCAATAGTTCTTTCACATTTTCTGACAAAGTGGATATCTTCACATCCCTGTCTTCAACAGTCAGTTTCAAACTGTCACATTCCTCCTGTGTTGCTTTTAACTGTTCACATGCCTGCTGAAACTGATTGGTCTTTAGGTTTAAGGCTTCTTCACTATTTCTCAAGCTGGAGTATATTTCTTCCTTCTTTCCACCAAGTTCTTGCAGTTGTGTTTGAAGCTCACAGACAATCATTTCCTTGTGTGAAAGATCCATGAGTACTTGCTTTTTCTTCAATCCAGCTTTGGAAGCAACACTCTGAGCTGAGTACGAAACTACCATCAATTCTTCACATTCTTCTCTTAACATTTGTACTGATGCATTCTTCTCTGACACTTCTGCACATAGTTTGTCTATCTGTTCTGTTTTCACTTCCAGTGTCTTTTCCTGATTTGTCACTTCCTCTGTAAGCTGGATAATCTTGTTGTCTCGGTCAGAAACAGATCCTTCCAAATTGCTTTTCATTCTCTCTCTTTCTTCTTCAGATGAGTTTAACATCTCAGAGGTATTGACAACAGCTTTCTCCAGTTCAAAAACCTTTAAAGAACTTTCTTCAAGGTTATTTCGTTGTGTGGTGAGCTCTGATTCAAGTAATTGTACCGTACTTTCAAGCTTTTGCACATCATTCTCCAAGCCTAGCCTGACCTCCTTCAAACCAGACACTTCTTGTTTTAATGATTTGTTTGCTTCTTCAATAGCCATCATTTCTGCAGAGACCCTTTCTTTTTCTTGAGACATGTTCTTCAGTTCCAGTGACTGTGTCTCGACTTCTTTTGTCAAACTGTCTGCCAACAAGATCTTGTCACTAAGCTGCAGACTCACGTCTGTAAAATGGACATTAGCTTCTTTGATTTCCTCTCGACTCTCAGACAGTTCTTTACTCGACATCTCTAACTCTGTTTGTAAGTGCAGGGACTTGGACTGCTCCTCTTCAAAACACAGTTTCATTTTCTCAAGCTGTTTTTCTGACTCATCAAGCAGCTCCACTCTTTTACTTAAGACAGCATTTGCAGTTGACAGTGATTCATCTAACTTCTTTGTCATAGCTTCATGTTCATCAGTCTGAACAGCAAAGTTCTTTGACATTTTCTCCAGTTCCTCCTTTGTGGTGACCAATTCTTCTTCCATTTCTCTTGTAATCTTCTTAACTGAAATAAGTTCCTCAGTGATCCTTCCATTCACTTCTTTAAGGTCGGAAACTTCTTCCTCGGTTTTGGCAAGTAAACCCTTAGATACATGAAGCTGGTCCAAAACCTGTGCATGAGTAGTCTTGAGTTCTTCAAACTCTGAACACTTTTCAGTAAACTGAACTTTTAAGTCCTGCACAATCTGTTGAGATTCTTCTACAGTGCAAGATTTAGACATCAAATCCTGCTGTGCCTGAGATAGATCAACTTTGGTTTGCTCAAGTTGATCCAACAGCTTTGAACATTGCAAGGCATATTCTTGTTTCTCTTCTTCTAAGCTATTCTTATCCTTCATGAGGATTTCAATCTGCTGCATAGATGAGGATAATTTCTGCATAGTGGCCTGCAGATCCATGAATACTTGCTTCTTCTTCAATCCAGCTTTGGCAGCAACACTCTGAGCTGAGGATGAAGCTACTGTCAGTTCCTCACACCGTTCCCTTAACATTTGTACTGATGCATTCTTCTCTGACACTTCTGCACATAGTTTGTCTATCTGTTCTGTTTTCACTTCCAGTGTCTTTTCCTGATTTGTCACATCCTCTGTAAGCTGGATAATCTTGTTGTCTCGGTCAGAAACAGATCCTTCCAAATTGCTTTTCATTCTCTCTCTTTCTTCTTCAGATGAGTTTAACATATCAGTGGTATTGACAACAGCTTTCTCCAGTTCAAAAACCTTTAAAGAACTTTCTTCAAGGTTATTTCGTTGTGTGGTGAGCTCTGATTCAAGTAATTGTACCGTACTTTCAAGCTTTTGCACATCATTCTCCAAGCCTAGCCTGACCTCCTTCAAACCAGACACTTCTTGTTTTAACAATTTGTTTGCTTCTTCAATAGCCATCATTTCTGCAGAGACCCTTTCTTTTTCTTGAGACATGTTCTTCAGTTCCAGTGACTGTGTCTCGACTTCTTTTGTCAAACTGTCCGCCTCCAAGATCTTGTCACTAAGCTGCAGACTCACGTCTGTAAAATGGACATTAGCTTCTTTGATTTCCTCTCGACTCTCAGACAGTTCTTTACTCGACATCTCTAACTCTGTTTGTAAGTGCAGGGACTTGGACTGCTCCTCTTCAAAACACAGTTTCATTTTCTCAAGCTGTTTTTCTGACTCATCAAGCAGCTCCACTCTTTTACTTAAGACAGCATTTGCAGTTGACAGTGATTCATCTAACTTCTTTGTCATAGCTTCATGTTCATCAGTCTGAACAGCAAAGTTCTTTGACATTTTCTCCAGTTCCTCCTTTGTGGTGACCAATTCTTCTTCCATTTCTCTTGTAATCTTCTTAACTGAAATAAGTTCCTCAGTGATCCTTCCATTCACTTCTTTAAGGTCGGAAACTTCTTCCTCGGTTTTGGCAAGTAAACCCTTAGATACATGAAGCTGGTCCAAAACCTGTGCATGAGTAGTCTTGAGTTCTTCAAACTCTGAACACTTTTCAGTAAACTGAACTTTTAAGTCCTGCACAATCTGTTGAGATTCTTCTACAGTGCAAGATTTAGACATCAAATCCTGCTGTGCCTGAGATAGATCAACTTTGGTTTGCTCAAGTTGATCCAACAGCTTTGAACATTGCAAGGCATATTCTTGTTTCTCTTCTTCTAAGCTATTCTTATCCTTCATGAGGATTTCAATCTGCTGCATAGATGAGGATAATTTCTGCATAGTGGCCTGCAGATCCATGAATACTTGCTTCTTCTTCAATCCAGCTTTGGCAGCAACACTCTGAGCTGAGGATGAAGCTACTGTCAGTTCCTCACACCGTTCCCTTAACATTTGTACTGATGCATTCTTCTCTGACACTTCTGCACATAGTTTGTCTATCTGTTCTGTTTTCACTTCCAGTGTCTTTTCCTGATTTGTCACATCCTCTGTAAGCTGGATAATCTTGTTGTCTCGGTCAGAAACAGATCCTTCCAAATTGCTTTTCATTCTCTCTCTTTCTTCTTCAGATGAGTTTAACATATCAGTGGTATTGACAACAGCTTTCTCCAGTTCAAAAACCTTTAAAGAACTTTCTTCAAGGTTATTTCGTTGTGTGGTGAGCTCTGATTCAAGTAATTGTACTGTACTTTCAAGCTTTTGCACATCATTCTCCAAGCCTAGCCTGACCTCCTTCAAACCAGACACTTCTTGTTTTAACAATTTGTTTGCTTCTTCAATAGCCATCATTTCTGCAGAGACCCTTTCTTTTTCTTGAGACATGTTCTTCAGTTCCAGTGACTGTGTCTCGACTTCTTTTGTCAAACTGTCCGCCTCCAAGATCTTGTCACTAAGCTGCAGACTCACGTCTGTAAAATGGACATTAGCTTCTTTGATTTCCTCTCGACTCTCAGACAGTTCTTTACTCGACATCTCTAACTCTGTTTGTAAGTGCAGGGACTTGGACTGCTCCTCTTCAAAACACAGTTTCATTTTCTCAAGCTGTTTTTCTGACTCATCAAGCAGCTCCACTCTTTCACTTAAGAAAGCATTTGCAGTTGACAGTGATTCATCTAACTTCTTTGTCATAGCTTCATGTTCATCAGTCTGAACAGCAAAGTTCTTTGACATTTTCTCCAGTTCCTCCTTTGTGGTGACCAATTCTTCTTCCATTTCTCTTGTAATCTTCTTAACTGTAATAAGTTCCTCAATGATCCTTCCATTCACTTCTTTAAGGTCGGAAACTTCTTCCTCGGTTTTGGCGAGTAAACCCTTAGATACATGAAGCTGGTCCAAAACCTGTGCATGAGTAGTCTTGAGTTCTTCAAACTCTGAACACTTTTCAGTAAACTGAACTTTTAAGTCCTGCACAATCTGTTGAGATTCTTCTACAGTGCAAGATTTAGACATCAAATCCTGCTGTGCCTGAGATAGATCAACTTTGGTCTGCTCAAGTTGATCCAACAGCTTTGAACATTGCAAGGCATATTCTTGTTTCTCTTCTTCTAAGTCACCCTTGTCCTTTGTCATGATCTCTATCTGTTGCATAGATGAGGATAATTTCTGCATAGTGGACTGCAGATCCTGCATAGTATTGTCATAGTCACTTTGAGTCCTACTTCTCACTCTCTCAATTTCATCAACGTTCTTGGACATCTGTTCAATATTTTCAGTGAGCTGGGTGAGTTTCAGTTCTTTTTCCTCTAAGGTAATGGCCATTTTCTCTTGACTTTCATTCAATTGTTGCACTTTCTCTAGGAGTTTCTGGGAATTGGAGACTTCATCTTGCAAGAGACGCTTTAACTCAGCTATCTGGACGCTATGTTTCTCAATGGCATCAGCATCTGTATCTTTCACATGTTGTGCTTCTTTCAGTTCATTATCTAGTCTGGATGACTTCATCATCTCTTGCTCCAACATATTCTGAAGCTGGTCCAAGGAGTTCGACAAACTCTCTAACTTCACATCCTTTTCTTCCATACTGGTTTTGAATCTTTCTCTGAGCAACTCAAGTTCCTCTTTTGCTGTTGTAAGCTGACTCTCCAGTTCAGATACATTTTGACATTTTTCCTCAAACATTTTCTGAAGATCCTCCAAAGAATTGACCATGCTTTCTATCTTCAACTCCTTCTCTTCAACAGTCTGTTGATATTTCTCACTGGTCTGTGCCATATCCTGTTTAGCTAAAGTTACTGCTTCATCAAGGCTCTTGATCCTGGTATTTAACTCATCTTTCTCATCTTCAACCAATGACAACTGCTTCCTCACGGTATTCAAGGCCTCTGATTCAACTTCTTTGCTGCTGAGGACACTGCTTAAGTCAGTCTGAAGCTGATCTTTCTGAAGTTCTAATACTTTGTTGAGGTCAAGCACTTCTGAAAGTTGTTGCTGGCTTACATCTAACTGAGTTGAAACTTTCTTCAAACTTTCCTTACTTTCTTCCAGATGAAGCGTCAGTTTGTGTTCCTTTGTCTTCAGTTCTCTGATGACTTCTTGGCCTTCCTGTAACTGCTTGTCAAGCAGATCAATATTTTTGGAGAGTTCTTGTTTCTGCATTGTTAGGTCTTCCACAGTGTTCCTCTCTGCTCTAACATATGCTTCTAATCTATGAACATCATTAACTAAACCTTTGTTCTTGTGATTTAGAGACATCACACTCCCTTCAGTTTCCTCCAGGGAACTTTGCAGCTCCACAACATGACCCTCTAGTACGACAATAACATTACACCTATCCTGCAGTTCTGTTTTCAGATCAGAAATACTTTCATTCAGGGATGAAATCATATCAGTTTTCTCCTTTACCAATGTTTCTAAATCTGAATTCCTTAACTGTATTATTTGCAATGTCTCCTCCAAGGAGGCAATCTTTGACAGTACAGCTTCCGTTTCATCTGTCTGACTTCTCAGCTTTTCAGTCAAGGAGCCGATCAACTGATTCTTCTCAGCAGCAAAGGTCTCGAGCTCTTCAACCTTGTTCCTATGAGTCTCCAGTTCACTGCCCCTGGTGGCTGATACTTGGTCCAGCTCCTCAACCTTACTACTGACTGAAGTCAAAGTGCTTTCTAATTTCTCTTTTTCTTGTGAGATGCTCCTAAATTCTGACTGTAATGTTGAAATAGTGGAAATCTGTTGACTTATGTCGTCCTGAAGATCTTTGATGGTGGTTTGCTTCTCATCTAGCATAGATTCCAGTTCTCCAATCTTCAGATTTAATACCTTTTTGTCTTCTTCCATCCTCACTTTCAGATCCCCCGATGCTATGTCTGCAGTATCTAGCTTCTTCAGCAGATCCTCCTTATCATCTTTTGCTGCTTCAATCACAGCTTCCAGTTCTGATATTTTCTTGTCTTTTCCCTTAAGTTCCTTATCAGCTCTGTTCAACTCTTGTTCAAGGCCTCCAGTAACCTCTTCTAGACCTCGAACTTTCTCATCTCTCTCTTCAAATAGGAGGTTTTTCTGTTTTAGTTCTTTCTCAAGATGAGATATTGATTCCATGTCCTCTTCCAGTTTTGCCTGGGATTTCTGAAGCTCTTCCTCAATGGTAGTTCTATGGCTTGAAAGTTTTTCAATATCTTTGGAAGACTTTTCTTTGGATGCATCTAGCAGTTTATAAACAGTCCTCAGTTCACCCTTCAGTCCTGCCACCTTGGCCATCAATGAGTGACCAGAGACAGTTTGACCGTCAAGTTCTTCTTGTAGTATTGCAATCTGCCCATTTCTGTCACACAGCTCTTGTTCCCTGCTTTCACAATCAGTCTGCCATTTCAAAAGTTCATCTCTGAGCACTTGAATCTCATTTCCTACTTCTAAGGACTTCGACTCCATGTCACTGGAAAGACTGTCGACCATTTTCTCTTTCTCAAACAACAATTCTGTAAGTCTTTCCTTATCTTCTGAAAGAGATTTCACAACACTGTCAAACTCTTGATTCTTCTGACCCAGAGTTAATGTCAATGTTTCAACTTCACCATGCAACCTTTCTCTTTCATGCACAACAGAATCATGACTAGATTTTAGAGTCCTTACCTCTGACTCCAGAACATCACACTTTTCAACAGTTTCAGACAACAAAACATGAGTCTTTTCAAATTGTGATTGTTTCTCATGCAGCTCTGTTTCTAGCTGGGAGACATTGGATTTCATGCTATTATTCTCAACATTTAAACTAGCACATTCAGACTGCACAACATCATGCTGGCTGTACAGAGAGGCAAGATCTTTCTCAGTCTGAAGCTGCTTGACATGCAAACTTTCGAAAGATTCTTTGGTTTCTGACAACTGGGATTTCATGCTGGATAGTTCAGATGCTTGACATTCAATCTGATCATTCAGTTCATGCACTTTGTCAGTGAGAGTCTGCACCTGGGAGCTGGAGTCGGTAGAGAGTGTGTCAAGCATTTCTTTGGTTTGTTGTAAAGATAAAGTTAAGGAATTCACATCAGAAAGTTTGTTCTTGAGTTCAGCCTCAAGTTCACTCACCTTCAACAAAGCACTGGATTTCTCAGAGTCTGTATCTTGTAACTGAAGCTTACACGCTTCTAATGATTTAGACAGGGAATCATACTCATCCTTAATCCCTGCCAAATCAGACTTTACTATATCCAAAGAAGTTGACAATGATTCACTTTCACGATTCTTCTCATCAACACATTTCAACATCTCATCACTATTTAGCTGTAACTGAAGGTTCTTGGAGGAAAGTCTCTCCTGTTCTTCTTTCAACACAACTAAATCTCTTGTAACAGTCTGCAACTGTTGAACACTGTCACCATACAGTTTGGTGACATCATCAAACTTTTCTTGCAAGTTCTGAGTTTCAGACCGAGCTGCATCTACCTCTTGTACCTTACTGTCTAACATTTGTTTGTAATCTTCTAATTTGTCATTTGATGCTGATAAATTGTGCCCATAGTTCTCTACTGTGCTCTCAAATTCTGTGACCTTTTCATTTACAACAACAAGCATTTGTTTATGTTCTTGCAAGGCAACAGATAAAGATTCTTTGTCCTGTAACAGAACTTGATTACTCTGTTCTAAAGTCCTCACCTGAACCTGACTCTCTTCCACAGTCCTCTCACACTGAACAGATAGCTCCTCACGCTCTTCTTTCAACCTCTGAACCGCTGTTTCAAGGCCTGAACATTTCAAGTTCAGTTCTTGGACTTCAGCACTCATGAGCTGTATCTGACTATCTTTTTCACCACAGATACGAAACTGTTCCTCAAGGTCGGTCTCAAGATTTTGAATCCTCTCCGACTCAGCTTGAGCATGGGTGTTCAACTCTTCCAGATTCACCACCAAGGATTGGATCTTCATATCCTTCTCCTCTAGAACCTTCTGTGTCTGAGAAGAGCTGTCATCCATTGACTGGGAAATGGAGTCAATCTTGATGTTCTTTTCAGTAACTTCTTTTTTCAAGGTTTTGACTTGTTGCAAAACTTCACTTTTTTCTGAGAGAGACACATCCAAATCTACTTTGTATCTTTCAACATCACCTGCTGTTGTTGCCAGCTCGGTTTTCAAAGAACCACACATTTCACTGAGGGATTTTATTTCTTTTTCTTTCTCATGGATAACAGTGTTCAATCTAGTAATCTCAACATCAGATGTTTCTACATTGCATAGATAGCCACTTGAAACTTCCTGCAGTTTATTGAGCTGTTCAGCTAGGTCTTCAACTGATTTTTCCCTATCACTACACAAAGATGTCAGCTCTTCTATCCTAGTATTGCACTTTTCAAGCTCTAAATCCTTCTCTGCAACAGATCTCTTAAGAAACTCATGATCTCCTAGTAATTGTTCATACTCTCCTCTTGTCTGCTCATTGGAGTCTTTCTCCTTCTCAAGCTGATCACGAAATGATTGCTCCCTCTGAGAAAAATCTTGAATCTGTTTCTGCAGTGTTACCATTTCAAAATTCTTCTCCTCCGCATGTTCTTGTAGGGCATCCTGTTTGGACATCTGGGCATCAAAATCACATTTCAGTTTAGATAACTCATCCTCCAAGACTATCGAAGATTGTTTCAAGGACACAATTTCTGAATCTTTAGACTCAAGCTCTTTCTCAAGCTCGATCTTCTCCGTTTTCAACTTCAAAATGTTCTCATCTTGGGAAGCTGCAGATTTTTGCTGTTCAGCAAGTTCCACCTCCATCTCGGACAGCTGTGAGAGAAGAGTCTGAGTCTTCATCTCAAACTCTTTCCCCTTCTCACTCTGACCCTCCTTCAGCAGATCCAGCTCCCGGGACATCTGTTTCACCTGAAGCTCCAGGCTGGCAGCAGCACCAGCCTTCTCATTGGCTGAAGACTTCACACTTTGCATCTCTTCACTTCTCTGCTCCAGAGACTGAGTCAGCTGCAAGATGCGAGTTTCTCTCTCACCCAGTTCTGTCGTCATTCTCTGCAAATCTGTTATTGCGGACTCCTTGGCCACTTGTAGGTGTTGCAGCGAGGTGTTGAGTTGCTCCTGGACAGTTTTCATCTCCTGTTTCGCGTCAGTAATCTCTGTGTTAAGTTTTGTTATAGTATGTTCACGCAGTTCAAGTTCCTCGGTGGACTGACGATGCTGTTCTTCAATGTGTTCCTGCAATGTAAATATGTGAGCACAATTGAAGCCTAAACAATCAAGTATCAGCCTACACAATCAAGACATGGCCTAAACAATCAAGAATCATGCAAATAGTTAAAGAGAAATATAAAATTAAAATCTGCAATTCATAACTACCAGTGCAATAAGTGAGAAACAATTCCCACAAAAAATATACTTAATATGACCATAAACACATTTACATTCCAATCATCAGATCAATAATTTATGGACTTACGAACTCAAACCTAAATTGATTGTATTCTCTTATTACTGGCAGCTGTGCCAAGAAACTCCTTTTGAATACCAAAATGTTCTTAACACATTAGAGTGAGTGAGTTGGGTTTAACGCCGCTTTTAACAGTATTACAGTTATATCGCGGAATGTCAGCTTAATGGTGCTGACAAACCTAGAAACATAATCGGGGCGAGCCTAACACATAAGACAATAAGCTGAATGTATGTCACAGGCAAGGTAGAGATTAACTGAAAGTCTTTTAGCAGCTGATCGAAGAAAGAACATCAAATAACCTTGGCTTCCAACAATGTCTGGAGTTGCTGCTTCTGTTGGGCGTTTTCTTCACCAAGGGAGTCAATTCTGGACCGTAGCTCTTCACACATGGAGTTCAACTTATTAATTTCTTCCTTATCCTGTTTTGTTATCTCTGACCCACTGTCAATATTCTTCTGAAGTTCCTCAACCTGAAATAGTGCAAGAAGTTTAATAGCTTCCTCTGGGTAAAAGATCTTATCATGTATGTAATAGTGTCATGGTACTGACACTCAACCTGTTTAGGCTTGTTAAAATAGACTTTCGAACACCAGAGTGAGTGAGTATAGTTTTATGTCGCCTTTAGCAATATTCCAGCAACATAAGACGGGGGACACCAGAAATAGGCTTCACACATTGTACCCGTGTCAGGAATCGAGCCCGGGTCTTCGGTATCAAGAAAACCAGAAATGGGCTTAACATTATTTTTAATGACTGTCATGAATTTCATTTTTGCAACAGATTTACACTTTCTGCATATAATGTGTAAAATATGCAGCAGAACACCTCTTTTCATATTCCCAGGTGTAGGGGTCCATAATTTGAGCAGCAGGATCTTGTGGACCAAAGAGGTCACATGGTACACCAGAATCAAGTTAATAAATACTAATAACCTCCATTCCTCCCAAGTCAGTTTAGTCTACACAACTCAACTCAGATTAACTCACCTGGGCCCTGAGTTCTTCACTTTCCTTTTCGAAAGCAATGACTGGTCTCGTGTCACTCTCGATTTTCTCCTTCAGTCGGTTAATCTCACTTAGCAGCTCCATCTTTTCTTCCTCAGTAGCTGCAACAAACAAACAGGTGTGGTCATGAGTTCAATGTCTAGGAATGACTCGCTCACATGATAAAGCCATGACCTTATCCTAGATAAGGTCTTATCATTGTTCAAGACTTCTAAAAGATGTTGTGAGATGCTCGGTTTTTTTCCCGTAAAAAAACCTGCACGTGTTCTATGAATGTAACGATATAAGGAGCAACAACCCCAATCAACCCAGGTGCCGGATCTGACCAACCAATCCATATATAGTCGCCTCGTGTGGCAAGTATTGGCTGCTGGTGATCTAACCCCATCGGGCAGGAGAATGCTTGAGCTTGTCCATGTCCTCACCATCTCTTGTCTCCTCGGTCTCGGCCATCTTCATCTCCAGGGAGACCTTATCACCCTTCAGGGTCTCAATGCTAGACTGCTTGTCCTCCAGGTCGGTCCTGGTCTCGGACACAACACTCTCCAGGGATGTTATCTTCTCAGTCATTGACTCCTGGAACAAACCATTACGCCATGAACAAAATTTGATTATGAAAATTGATCAGAGGCCGACGATCCACCACCACAAAATCTAATTACCCCCTTCCTCCCTATAAAATCTCTTCCCCCTCAGCTCTCTCCCTTGAAAGTAACATGAGAAATTACAAAACAAAACACCACAAAACAAAACTTTATTGAAATGCTATATAATGAAATACTGCATATTGTCAACTTAACACCCCTACATCCTACACACACGCACATGCTGAAGGTGGAAATTCAAAATGTGCCTCCCCAAACACACTTAAAAATCCCTCTCTCCCACCCTTAAATAAGCAACTTTTGTTCATACATGTGATAAAGTGTGTAGCATGAGGTTCCCAATATCCCCGGGATTGTTGATACAGAAGCTACTCACGATGTCGGCCTCAGCCTTCTTCTTGAACTCCTCCAGCTCGACAGCTCTTATCTCCAGACTGATGCGGTTCCTCTTCTCCACATCACGCTCCTCCTGCACCTCCTTCAGCTCCTCCCGAGCTGACTCCAGGTCTTGCTGCAGCTCCAGGAGTCGTTGCTGCTGGTTGCTGTCATGGGACACCTGGTTCTGGAACACAGAATTGGATGAGAATAGAATGAGAGTGAGTTGGTTGAACACTTCTTGTAACAGCATGTCAGTCATATCAGTTTAAAGTGGGGGAAACCCCAAAGTGATTCAGGTCCATCTACTACTATAGTCAAAGCCATGAGCACAGATGGAGTGGCAGCAATCCAAGGATCATAATCGGGGCTAGGATTCAAACACATAATGATAGCATGGCACTGTGAATTGCAGAGCCTTAAGCATTTGGGCAGTTAGCAATATTACAGTGAGGGAATACTGTACACAAGAATCAGCAATATTATCAGCAATCAGCGAGTGAACATTCCGTTACATCATCTACGTTGCAGTCACTGACATTCGAGCTATATCTTACTATGATCATATGCGCCTGTGACAGCACTACTCCCTACCTGGTCCACGGTGGCCTGAAGGTCTGTGACAATCTGACTAAGTTTCTCTCTCTCCTCATTGGCTGCCTGAAACTC